TTATGTGAAGACATGTTAGGTGTCACTCCCCTTCAGACCAGTACAAGAGGAGAGGATATCTACCTGGCCATTAAGGAGATGTTAACAAAAAGAGGAATAGAGCCAAAACAAGTGGTTTCAATAACCACAGATGGAGCCCCTTCTATGATAGGGAAAGAAAAAGGAGCTGTAGCAAGACTGAAAGGGGACAATCCTGAGCTTTTATCTTACCATTGCATCATTCATCAATCTGTCCTCTGTGCCTCCCTGTCAGATGAGCATGCTGAGGTGATGAATACAATGATGAAAATGATAAATTTTCTCAGGGCATCCTCTTCCTACCAGCATCGCATGCTTAGGGAATTCCTCAGAGAAGTTGATGCCAATGCTGATGATCTTTTGCTGCACAACAATGTGAGATGGCTCAGCAAAGGCAGGGTGCTAGAGCGCTTTTGGTCCATCAGGAGGGAATTAGCATATTTTTTGGCAGAGCTAAGCAGTCAGAAGGCAACACAGTTTTCTCTCTTTTTAGAAAATGAGAAATGGATGGATAATGTGGCCTTTTTGGTTGACATCACGTCACATCTGAATGAACTGAATTTGAGGCTACAGGGCAAGGACAATTCAATTTGTGAACTGATGACAGCTGTTCGCTCCTTTCAGAGGAAACTTGAAGTGTTCAAGGAAGACCTGCAGGGAGACTGTGTACACTTCCCAGCAGTGCAGGAACAGGTTCAGGGACAGAGAGATTTGTCTTCTTTTGTTGATTTTATTGATAAGCTGATTGTAAACTTCAGCAACCGTTTTGACAGCTTCAGCTTTGGAGAGCAGCTCACCATGTTCATTCAGAACCCATTTCTGATCACAGATGTCAGGGGGTTCTCAAAGGAAGTCACACAGCACTTTAAATGGGTAAATGCTGGGTCTCTCCAGATGCAATTGGTTGATCTCCAAGCAGATGTGGCCCTGAAAGAGCAGTTTGTAAGAACTGACCCTTCCACTTTCTGGTTCCAAATGGTCCCTGAGACTGCTTTCCCGGGTCTGAGGAAAGTAGCCCTATACATCTTGACCATGTTTGGCTCCACATACAACTGCGAGGCAGCTTTCTCCACAATGAACATAATTAAAACTAAATATCGTTCCAGGCTCACCAATGAGCACCTTCACATGTGTATGAGAATGGCCCTGACTCCATTCAAGCCCAGGTTTAAAATTCTGGCAAGACAGGCTAAAGCTCAATTCTCTCACTGAGCAAAAACATGGTGGAGTGGGATATGAGGGGAAGAAAGTGATACTCTAAAACTGTTCAATTGTTAAGATCTGTTGAGATTTATTATTTGTAAAATTGGTTGAGACTGTTGAGTCAAGATGTGAAACAGAAAAGGGGAAATTCAAACTTTTCCTCCCTTTATATTATTTTTCTGAAGTTAAGCACTTTTTTTGAAAATGCACAATTTTCACATTTTATTTATTTTCTCTTATTTTGACATGCAGCCCTAGTTTTATTTAGTTAATTAATGAGAGCACATTGTACATATCTACAGTCATACATATATGTTCAGTAGGGCTGCCCCTCTTAGTCGATTAGTCGACTAATCGGTCGTTTCGGTCTTAGTCGACTAAGATTTCTTTAGTCGATAAGTCATTTTTTATGCTTATTCATGCTTAATTACTCATTTCCAAGTAACTTATGAGAACATTTCTGGTGAACACGAGATTTAAAGTGGTGCTTTTGCAGGATTAATTTCGGAGAAACTCAGTTTTACAGATGGTTAATTAACTACATTTATATTGCGCTTTTCTAGTCTTGCACAGCTCTGTCGATTAAATCAACTAATCGATTAGTCGACAAACTCATATAAGTGTTAGTCGACTAAGAATTTCTTTAGTCGAGGACAACCCTAATGTTCAGTTCTATGTTTCGTGATAATAAATATTGTCAACAAGTTTTTGAATTGTACTGAATTAATTTGATTAGACGGTCAGTTATTGATTACATTCAGAACTACTAGGCTACTTAAATATATATACCACTAAATTGTTAGACATTATGATCTTCTGGACCTTTGCTTCAAAACATTTTCTCTAACTGGACCTTTTTTAAATTTTGTTGAATACCCCTGATATAGAATTACTGTAAAATTAACTGTGTCCATAAGGTGTAGATAGTAAGTATAGACCGGAAGTAGAGGCCTGGGCATTGTTGTTCACTAATTTACTCCAAGTAGGGAAAGGATGGCGGGGTTGAAAAGTAATAAAGGGGAATATATATATAAAAAACATGGGGGATTGGAAGTGATGCAGACAATTACATTGATAGAAGATACAATCTATCTGCAATATTAAGCTGATCCATCCCCCCTAAAAAAAAAATAATAATAATAATAATAATAAATAAAAAATAAAAAATAGCAGCAAAACATTGCTTAGAATCAAGGGCAATGGTGACATCATTTAAGACCTTTAAGGTTGCAGTGACACATCCATAACCTGAGAGGAAACCAGATTGCATACCAGAGAGAATACTATAGACATTAAGAAAGCCAGTCAGTTGATTATTGACAAGTTTTTCCAACACTTTTGATAAACAGGGCAAAATAGAAATTGGCCTATAACAGTTAGGATCAGCTTGATCTCCCCCTTTAAATAAAGGACGCACCGTGGCTGCCTTCCAAGCAATGGGAACCTCCCCAGAGAGGAGAGACAGGTTAAAAAGGTCAGAGATAGGCGTGGCGATGATAGGGGCTGCAACCTTAAAGAACAAAAGGGTCTAGACCATCTGACCCAGATGGTTTTTTGGGGTGAAGTTTAAGGAGCTCCTTTAGCACCTCGGACTCAGTGACCGCCTGCAGGGAGGAAACTGTGTAGCGGGGCAGGGGAAAAAGAGGGAGGAGCATCGGGGCTAGTCACATTAGAAGGGGTGGGAGATGAGGGACATGGGCAGCTGTGAGGAGAACAGTTTAATGTCCAGGTCTTTAACCGTTTTCCAGAACTTCTTGGGGTTAGACCCACAGAGAGAGAACTGCTCCTTAAAGTAACTAACTTTAGCCTTCTGGATAGCCTGAGTGCACTTATTTCTCATTTACCTGAACGAGAGCCAGTCAGCCTGAGTATGCGTGTGCCGAGCCTTTCGCCAAATGGAATTCTTGAGGTGGAGTAACTCTGCCAGATCACGGTCGAACCAGGGGCTGAACCTGTTTTTAATTCTCATTTTCTTTATGGGGGCGTGTTTGTTAACATAACCACTACAAATATCAAAAAGGAAGGTCCAAACGTCTTCGACAGAGGGGATCAAGCTGATTCTATACCAATTTACAGAGGCCAGGTCATCAAGGAAGGCTTGCTCATTAAAGTTTTTAGCAAGCGTCTATGACAAATCAGGACAGGTCGTTTCACTGAGCAGCCATTACGAACACAGGCTGTAAAACAGTGATCACTAAGGTCATTACAGAAAACACCAGACTGATACCTGTCAGGATTATTGGTGAGGATAACATCAAGGAGAGTAGCCTTTTCTGGGTGTTTGGAGTCATACCTTGGTAATAATCTGAGAATGATTTAGGACTTGGTCAGGTGGTTTAAGCATGTCCCAGTTTAGGTCACCGAGCAGGACATATTCAGACTTAGTGTAAGGGTCCAGGAGAGAGCTTAGGGCAGGTAGGGTACAGGCCGGTGCTGTGTAAGGGGCCAGGAGAGAGGTTAGGGCAGGTAGGGTACAGGCCGGTGCTGTGTAAGGGGCCAGGAGAGAGCTTAGGGCAGGGAGGGTACAGGCCGGTGCTGTGTAAGGGGCCAGGAGAGAGCTTAGGGCAGGTAGGGTACAGCCCGGTGCTGTGTAAGGGTCCAGGAGAGAGCTTAGGGCAGGTAGGGTACAGGCCGGTGCTGTGTAAGGGTCCAGGAGAGAGGTTAGGGCAGGTAGGGTACAGGCCGGTGCTGTGTAAGGGGCCAGGAGAGAGCTTAGGGCAGGTAGGGTACAGGTCGGTGCTGTGTAAGGGGCCAGGAGAGAGCTTAGGGCAGGTAGGGTACAGGCCGGTGCTGTGTAAGGGGCCAGGAGAGAGCTTAGGGCAGGTAGGGTACAGGCCGGTGCTGATGGAGGACGATAACACCCAGCAACAGACAACAAAGAGCTGTTTGAAAGTTTAATGCTTAAAACCAGCAAATATAATTGTTTGGGGACAGACTTGGTGGAGACAACCGAGCCCTGAAGGTGTTCCTTGGTAAAGATTGCCACTCCACCACCTTTGGAAGATCTGTCTTGCTGAAAAAGGTTATAACCAGAAAGGCTAACATCAGTGTTCAAAACACTCTTTCTTAACCACGTCTCAGTAATGACCAACACATCTGGATTAGAGCTGTGAACCCACACTTTCAATTGATACATTTTACGTAACCGCATCAACAAGTATACAAGAACACATTTAGGACACATTATAATTTATTATTTTACAGAAACATGGTTGTCAGAGAAAGATGACGTTCCATAGCTAAGTGAATGTGAGAAGAGAAGAGCGAGAGGGATAAAGTTAAATCATCTGTTTTTTCCTCGGCCCCCAGAGTTTCATGCTCAGCAGAGCGGATTGTGGCATTACCTTCGATAAGGGGCGAAGACAGGGTTTTCTCATCAATAAATAGTCATATTGGAGACCTCAGAGGCATGAGACCTCAGAAGGATGGAGACCTTGGGCTAAGACAGAACACCCTGTCAATATAAGGAACGTTTGTTTGGCGTGAGACACTTGGAAGTGACACTGTTTTTACAATTGAGTCTTAATCTCCCAACTGATTCAAAGCCCTATCAAAGCAGGGTTCATTCTTCAGTGGACCTAAGAAACCATACATTATTGCCTGTAACATATGCTAACATCAAACCTATATAATGTAAAACCCTTCCATTATCGCTTTTCCTAAAAGTCAAGATGACAACCTGGAAGAACGTAGGTTACGTTGAGGGAGATTTAGTATTCAGTCAATATATCTTGTAGGTTTTGAAGTGTAAGTCTATGTAGTGAGGTAAGACATGTGACATGTGGCCATGGTGATGGCCTGCTTGGGGTGGTTCTGTAAGATGGTAACAGGGTGTTGTTGGTTCTGTTAGATGGTAACAGGGTGTTGTTGGTTCTGTTAGATGGTAACAGGGTGTTGTTGGTTCTGTTAGATGGTAACAGGCTGTTGTTGGTTCTGTTAGATGGTAACAGGGTGTTGTTGGTTCTGTTAGATGGTAACAGAGTGTTGTTGGTTCTGTTAGATGGTAACAGGGTGTTGTTGGTTCTGTTAGATGGTAACAGGGGGTTGTTGGTTCTGTTAGATGGTAACAGAGTGTTTTTGGTTATGTTAGATGGTAACAGACTGTTGTTTGTTCTGTTAGATGGTAACAGGGTGTTGTTGGTTCTGTTAGATGGTAACAGCGTGTTGTTGGTTCTATTAGATGGTAACAGGGAGTTGTTGGTTCTGTTAGATGGTAACAGGCTGTTGTTGGTTCTGTTAGATGGTAACATGGTGTTGTTGGTTCTGTTAGATGGTAACAGGGGGTTGTTGGTTCTGTTAGATGGTAACTGGGGGTTGTTGGTTCTGTTAGATGGTAACAGGCTGTTGTTGGTTCTGTTAGATGGTAACAGGGGGTTGTTGGTTCTGTTAGATGGTAACAGGCTGTTGTTGGTTCTGTTAGATGGTAACAGAGGGTTGTTGGTTCTGTTAGATGGTAACAGGGGGTTGTTGGTTCTGTTAGATGGTAACAGGCTGTTGTTGGTTCTGTTAGATGGTAACAGGGTGTTGGTTGGTTGCTGTTAGATGGTAAACAGGGGGTTGTTGGTTCGTTAGAATGGTAACAGGGGGTTGTTGGTTCTGTTTAGATGGTAACAGGCTGGTTGTTGGGTTCTGTTAGATGGGTAACAGGGGGTTGTTGGTTTCTGTTTAGATGGTAACAGGGGGTTGTTGGTTCTGGTTCGAGTGGTACAGGGGGTGTTGGGTTTTCTGGTTATGATGGTAACAGGCTGTTGTTGGTTCTGTTGAGATGGTAAACCGGGGGTTGTTGGTTCTGGTTAGATGGTAACAGGGGGTTTTGTTGGTTCTGTTAGATTGGTAACAGGCTGTGTGTTGGTTCTATTAGATGGTAACAGGGGGTTGTTGGGTTTCTGTTAGATGGATTAACCAGAGCTGTGTTGTGTGGTTTCTGTGTAGATGGTAACAGGCGGCTGTTGTTTGGTTCTGTAGATGGTAACAGAGGGTTGGTTGGTTCTGTTATATGGTAACAGGGGGGTTGTTGGTTTTCTGTTAGATGGTAACAGGCTGTTGTTGGTTCTGTTAGATGGTAACAGGGTGTTGTTGGTTCTGTTAGATGGTAACAGGGGGTTGTTGGTTCTGTTAGATGGTAACAGGGGGTTGTTGGTTCTGTTAGATGGTAACAGGCTGTTGTTGGTTCTGTTAGATGGTAACAGGGGGTTGTTGGTTCTGTTAGATGGTAACAGGGGGTTGTTGGTTCTGTTAGATGGTAACAGGGGGTTGTTGGTTCTGTTAGATGGTAACAGGGTGTTGTTGGTTCTGTTAGATGGTAACAGGGGGTTGTTGGTTCTGTTAGATGGTAACAGGCTGTTGTTGGTTCTGTTAGATGGTAACAGGGGGTTGTTGGTTCTGTTAGATGGTAACAGGGGGTTGTTGGTTCTGTTAGATGGTAACAGGCTGTTGTTGGTTCTATTAGATGGTAACAGGGGGTTGTTGGTTCTGTTAGATGGTAACAGGCTGTTGTTGGTTCTGTAAGATGGTAACAGGGTGTTGTTGGTTCTGTTAGATGGTAACAGGGTGTTGTTGGTTCTGTTAGATGGTAACAGGGGGTTGTTGGTTCTGTTAGATGGTAACAGGCTGTTGTTGGTTCTGTTAGATGGTAACAGGGGGTTGTTGGTTCTGTTAGATGGTAACAGGGGGTTGTTGGTTCTGTTAGATGGTAACAGGGGGTTGTTGGTTCTGTTAGATGGTAACAGGGTGTTGTTGGTTCTGTTAGATGGTAACAGGGGGTTGTTGGTTCTGTTAGATGGTAACAGGCTGTTGTTGGTTCTGTTAGATGGTAACAGGGTGTTGTTGGTTCTGTTAGATGGTAACAGGCTGTTGTTGGTTCTGTTAGATGGTAACAGGGGGTTGTTGGTTCTGTTAGATGGTAACAGGGGGTTGTTGGTTCTGTTAGATGGTAACAGGGGGTTGTTGGTTCTGTTAGATGGTAACATGCTGTTGTTGGTTCTGTTAGATGGTAACAGGGGGTTGTTGGTTCTGTTAGATGGTAACATGCTGTTGTTGGTTCTGTTAGATGGTAACAGGGGGTTGTTGGTTCTGTTAGATGGTAACAGGCTGTTGTTGGTTCTGTAAGAGCACCATGGCAGCATGCTCTTGGAGATGGTTCCATGTCTCAGTCATGACTTTGTTTCTCTCCTCCACAGATTCAACCCTGAAACACAATCCAGACAAACACACACAGCACAATTATATACAATAGACTACTGTACAAAACACCCAATTACACAATACAGACAAACAGTCTAATATTAAGGAAGTCTCAAGGTATTGCTCGCCTGAGGTAGAGTACCTCATGATAAGCTGTAGACCCACTATCTACCAAGAGAGTTTCATCTATATTATTCGTATCCGTCTATTTACCACCACAAACCGATGCTGGCACTAAGACCGCACTCAACGAGCTGTATAAGGCCATAAGCAAACAAGAAAATGCTCATCCAGAAGCGGCGCTCCTAGTGGCCGGGGACTATAATGCAGGCACATTTAAATCTGTTTTACCTCATTTCTACCAGCATGTCACATGTGCAACCAGAGGGAAATAAAACTCTAGACCACCTTTACTCCACACACAGAGACGCATACAAAGCTCTCCCTCGCCCTCCATTTGGCAAATCTGACCATAATTCTATCCTCCTGATTCCTGCTAACAAGCAAAAACTAAAGCAGGAAGTACCAGTGACTCGGTCAATAAGGAAGTGGTCAGATGACGCGGATGCTACGCTACAGGACTGTTTTGCTAGCACAGACTGGAATATGTTCCGGGATTCATTCGATGGCATTGAGGAGTTTACCAAATCAGTCACTGGCTTCATTAATAAGTGCATCAACGGCGTAGTCCCCACAGTGACCGTACGTACATATCCTAACCAGAAGCCATGGATTACAGGCAACATCCGCACTGAGCTAAAGGGTAGAGCTGCCGCGTTCAAGGAGCGGGACACTAATCTGGACGGTTATAAGAAATCCCGCAATGCCCTCAGACGAACCATCAAACAGGCAAAGCGTCAATAAAGGACTAAGATTGAATCCTACTACACCGGCTCTGACGCTCGTCGGATGTGGCAGGGCTTGCAAACTATTACAGACTACAAAGGGAAACCCTGCCGCGAGCTGCCCAGTGACACGAGCCTACCAGACGGGCTAAATGCCTTCTATGCTCGCTTCGAGGCAAGCAACACTGAAGCATGCATGGGAGCACCAGCTGTTCCGGACGACTGTGTGATCACGCTCTCCGTAGCCGATGTGAGCAAGATGTTTAAACAGGTCAACATTCACAAGGCCGCGGGGCCAGACGGATTACCAGGACGTGTACTCAGAGCATGCACGGACCAACTGGCAAGTGTCTTCACTGACATTTTCAACCTCTCCCTGACCGAGTCTGTAATACCTACATGTTTCAAGCAGACCACCATAGTCCCTGTGCCCAAGAAAGCGAAGGTAACCTGCCTAAATGACTACCGACCCGTAGCACTCACGTCGGTAGCCATGAAGTGCTTTGAAAGGCTGGTCATGGCTCACATCAACACCATCATCCCGGAAACCCTAGACCCACTCCAATTCGCATACCGCCCCAACAGATCCACAGATGATGCAATCTCAATCGCACTCCACACTGCCCTTTCCCACCTGGACAAAAGGAACATCTATGTGAGAATGCTGTTCATTGACTACAGGTTAGCGTTCAACACCATAGTGCCCTCCAAGCTCATCACTAATCTAAGGACCCTGGGACTAAACACCTCCCTCTGCAACTGGATCCTGGACTTCCTGACGGGCCGCCCCCAGGTGGTAAGGATAGGTAACAACACATCTGCCACGCTGATCCTCAACACGGGGGCCCCTCAGGGGTGCGTGCTCAGCCCCTCCTGTACTCCCTGTTCACCCATGACTGTGTGGCCAAGCACGACTCCATCACCATCATTAAGTTTGCTGAAGTTCAACAGTGGTAGGCCTGATCACGACAACGATGAGACAGCCTACAGGGAGGAGGTCAGAGACCTGACAAGTAATTTTTACAACAATTGTTTACAGACAGATTATTTCACTTATAATTCACTGCATCACAATTCCAGTGGGTCAGAAGTTTACATACACTAAATTGACTGTGCCTTTAAACAGCTTGGAAAATTCCAGAAAATTATGTCATGGCTTTAGAAGCTTCTGGTAGGCTAATTGACATCATTTGAGTCAATTGGAGGTGTACCTGTGGATGTATTTCAAGGCCTACCTTCAAACTCAGTGCCTCTTTGCTTGACATCATGGGAAAATCAAAAGAAATCAGCCAAGACCTCAGAAAAAAATGTGTAGACCTCCACAAGTCTGGATCATCCTTGGGAACAATTTCCAAACGCCTGAAGGTACCAAGTTCATCTGTACAAACAATAGTACTTAAGTATAAACACCATGGGACCACGCAGCCGTCATACCACTCAGGAAGGAGACGTGTTCTGTCTCCTAGAGATGAATGTACTTTGGTGCGAAAAGTGCAAATCAATCTCAGAACAACAGCAAAGGACATTGTGAAGATGCTGGAGGAAACAGGTACAAAAGTATCTATATCCACAGTGAAACAAGTCCTATATCGACATCACCTGAAAGGCTGCACAGCAAGGAAGAAGCCACTCCTCCAAAACCGCCATAAAAAAGACAGACTACGGTTTGCAACTGCACATGGGGACAAAGATCGTACTTTTTGGAGAAATGTCCTCTGGTCTGATGAAACAAAAATAGAACTGTTTGGCCATAATGACCATCGTTATGTTTGGAGGAAAAAGGGGGACGCTTGCAAGCCGAAGAACACCATCCCAACCGTGAAGCACGGGGGTGGCAGCATCATGCTGTGGGGGTGCTTTGCTGCAGGAGGGACTGGTGCACTTTACAAAATAGATGGCATCATGAGGAAGGAAAATTATGTGGATATATTGAAGCAACATCTCAAGACATCAGTCAGGAAGTTAAAGCTTAGTCGCAAATGGGTCTTCCAAATGGACAATGACCCCAAGCATACTTCCAAAGTATTGGCAAAATGGCTTAAGGACAACAAAGTCAAGGTATTGGAATGGCCAATTGGAGTGATCCTAACTGACATAAGACAGGGCATTTTTACTAGGATTAAATGTCAGGAATTGTGAAAAACAGAGTTTAAATGTATTTGGCTAAGGTGTATGTAAACCTCCGACCAACTGTATATACTAGGCGGTGTCAGAGGAAGGCCCAGAAAATTGTCAAAGTCTCTAGTCACATAAGTCATAGACTGTTCTCTCTGCTACAGCACGGCAAGTGGTACCGGAGCGCCAAGTCTAGGTCCAAAAGTCTCCTTAACAGCTTCTAGCCCCAAGCCATAAGACTGCTGAACAATTAATAAAATGGCCACCTGGACTATTTACATTGACACCCCCCAGGACAAATATATACAATAGAATACTGTAGAAAAGCCACAGGACTATTACATAAGAATACAACAGGTTACTGTAGAAAACCCCCAGGACTATTACATACAACAGGTTACTGTAGAAAACCCCCAGGACTATTACATACAATACAACAGGTTACTGTAGAAAACCCCCAGGACTATTACATACAACACAACAGACTACTGTAGAAAACCCCCAGGACTATTACATACAATACAACAGACTACTGTAGAAACCCCCCAGGACTATTACATACAATACAATAGACTACTGTAGAAAACCCCCAGGACTATTACATACAACAGGCTACTGTAGAAAACCCCCAGGACTATTACATAACAATACAATAGACTACTGTAGAAAAGCCCCAGGACTATTACATAGAATACAACAGGCTACTGTAGAAAAGCCCCAGGACTATTACATACAATACAATAGACTACTGTAGAAAAGCCCCAGGACTATTACATACAATACAATAGACTACTGTAGAAAACCCCCAGGACTATTACATACAACACAACAGACTACTGTAGAAACCCCCCAGGACTATTACATACAATACAACAGACTACTGTAGAAAACCCCCAGGACTATTACATACAATACAACAGGTTACTGTAGAAAACCCCCAGGACTATTACATACAACAGGTTACTGTAGAAAACCCCCAGGACTATTACATACAATACAACAGGTTACTGTAGAAAACCCCCAGGACTATTACATACAATACAACAGGCTACTGTAGAAAAGCCCCAGGACTATTACATACAATACAACAGACTACTGTAGAAAACCCCCAGGACTATTACATACAATACAATAGGCTACTGTAGAAAACCCCCAGGACTATTACATACAATACAATAGACTACTGTAGAAAACCCCCAGGACTATTACATACAATACAACAGACTACTGTAGAAAACCCCCAGGACTATTACATACAACAGGCTACTATAGAAAACCCCCAGGACTATTACATACAATACAACAGACTACTGTAGAAAACCCCCAGGACTATTACATACAACAGACTACTGTAGAAAACCCCCAGGACTATTACATACAATACAACAGGCTAAGGCCAACCGGCCGATACGTTTCCAAACCTCTCTTCAGGACCCCCAGCCATTCCACGTATTTGAACTATTCCAGAGCTAATACACCTGATTTAACTTGTCAACTAATCATCAAGCCCTTGACTAGGTGAATGAATCACTGAGCTAGTTCAGGGCTACAACAACATTGTGAAATGTCTGGGGGTCCCTGAGGAGAGGCTTGAAAAACACTGACCCAAGTCATACTGAGTTTCTGATTATTCCCCCAGGCACCTGCAACAAGCCTGTTGAGATGTGCCACTGCTTTTCCTATTTTCATGTTATAGCAGACCAATTCCATGCTATATGACGTCCCTACCTGATGATGTCATAACTAGACCACTGACATACTGTATTTCACACTCTGATGATGTCATAACTAGACCACTGACATACTGTATTTCACACTCTGATGATGTCATAACTAGACCACTGACATACTGTATTTCACACTCTGATGATGTCATAACTAGACCACTGACATACTGTATTTCACACTCTGATGATGTCATAACTAGACCACTGACATACTGTATTTCACACTCTGATGATGTCATAACTAGACCACTGACATACTGTATTTCACACTCTGATGATGTCATAACTAGACCACTGACATACTGTATTTCACACTCTGATGATGTCATAACTAGACCACTGACATACTGTATTTCACACTCTGATGATGTCATAACTAGACCACTGACATACTGTATTTCACACTCTGATGATGTCATAACTAGACCACTGACATACTGTATTTCACACTCTGATGATGTCATAACTAGACCACTGACATACTGTTGTTTCACACTCTGATGATGTCATAACTAGACCACTGACATACTGTATTTCACACTCTGATGATGTCATAACTAGACCACTGACATACTGTTGTTTCACACTCTGATGATGTCATAACTAGACCACTGACATACTGTGTTTCACACTCTGATGATGTCATAACTAGACCACTGACATACTGTATTTCACACTCTGATGATGTCATAACTAGACCACTGACATACTGTATTTCACACTCTGATGATGTCATAACTAGACCACTGACATACTGTGTTTCACACTCTGATGATGTCATAACTAGACCACTGACATACTGTTGTTTCACACTCTGATGATGTCATAACTAGACCACTGACATACTGTGTTTCACACTCTGATGATGTCATAACTAGACCACTGACATACTGTATTTCACACTCTGATGATGTCATAACTAGACCACTGACATACTGTATTTCACACTCTGATGATGTCATAACTAGACCACTGACATACTGTATTTCACACTCTGATGATGTCATAACTAGACCACTGACATACTGTATTTCACACTCTGATGATGTCATAACTAGACCACTGACATACTGTGTTTCACACTCTGATGATGTCATAACTAGACCACTGACATACTGTATTTCACACTCTGATGATGTCATAACTAGACCACTGACATACTGTATTTCACACTCTGATGATGTCATAACTAGACCACTGACATACTGTGTTTCACACTCTGATGATGTCATAACTAGACCACTGACATACTGTATTTCACACTCTGATGATGTCATAACTAGACCACTGACATACTGTATTTCACACTCTGATGATGTCATAACTAGACCACTGACATACTGTATTTCACACTCTGATGATGTCATAACTAGACCACTGACATACTGTATTTCACACTCTGATGATGTCATAACTAGACCACTGACATACTGTATTTCACACTCTGATGATGTCATAACTAGACCACTGACATACTGTATTTCACACTCTGATGATGTCATAACTAGACCACTGACATACTGTTGTTTCACACTCTGATGATGTCATAACTAGACCACTGACATACTGTATTTCACACTCTGATGATGTCATCAACTCTGTTACAGCAACTAGTGTTTATTAGGAACAAACAATCAGAGATTCATTTTGACGTGTGTCTGGATGAGTCCAAACTGATCTGGAAAGCCAACAGAGTATTGTGATAATGGCTGATCTGGAAAGCCAACAGAGTATTGTGATAATGGCTGATCTGGAAAGCCAACAGAGTATTGTGATAATGGCAGATCTGGAAAGCCAACAGAGTATTGTGATAATGGCTGATCTGGAAAGCCAACAGAGTATTGTGATAATGGCTGATCTGGAAAGCCAACAGAGTATTGTGATAATGGCTGATCTGGAAAGCCAACAGAGTATTGTGATAATGGCTGATCTGGAAAGCCAACAGAGTATTGTGATAATGGCTGATCTGGAAAGCCAACAGAGTATTGTGATAATGGCTGATCTGGAAAGCCAACAGAGTATTGTGATAATGGCTGATCTGGAAAGCCAACAGAGTATTGTGATAATGGCTGATCTGGAAAGCCAACAGAGTATTGTGATAATGGCTGATCTGGAAAGCCAACAGAGTATTGTGATAATGGCTGATCTGGAAAGCCAACAGAGTATTGTGATAATGGCTGATCTGGAAAGCCAACAGAGTATTGTGATAATGGCTGATCTGGAAAGCCAACAGAGTATTGTGATAATGGCTGATCTGGAAAGCCAACAGAGTATTGTGATAATGGCTGATCTGGAAAGCCAACAGAGTATTGTGATAATGGCTGATCTGGAAAGCCAACAGAGTATTGTGATAATGGCTGATCTGGAAAGCCAACAGAGTATTGTGATAATGGCTGATCTGGAAAGCCAACAGAGTATTGTGATAATGGCTGATCTGGAAAGCCAACAGAGTATTGTGATAATGGCTGATCTGGAAAGCCAACAGAGTATTGTGATAATGGCTGATCTGGAAAGCCAACAGAGTATTGTGATAATGGCTGATCTGGAAAGCCAACAGAGTATTGTGATAATGGCTGATCTGGAAAGCCAACAGAGTATTGTGATAATGGCTGATCTGGAAAGCCAACAGAGTATTGTGATAATGGCTGATCTGGAAAGCCAACAGAGTATTGTGATAATGGCTGATCTGGAAAGCCAACAGAGTATTGTGATAATGGCTGATCTGGAAAGCCAACAGAGTATTGTGATAATGGCTGATCTGGAAAGCCAACAGAGTATTGTGATAATGGCTGATCTGGAAAGCCAACAGAGTATTGTGATAATGGCTGATCTGGAAAGCCAACAGAGTATTGTGATAATGGCTGATCTGGAAAGCCAACAGAGTATTGTGATAATGGCTGATCTGGAAAGCCAACAGAGTATTGTGATAATGGCTGATCTGGAAAGCCAACAGAGTATTGTGATAATGGCTGATCTGGAAAGCCAACAGAGTATTGTGATAATGGCTGATCTGGAAAGCCAACAGAGTATTGTGATAATGGCTGATCTGGAAAGCCAACAGAGTATTGTGATAATGGCTGATCTGGAAAGCCAACAGAGTATTGTGATAATGGCGTTTAGCTGTAGGTACAGTAATAGCAGTCAGACTGACAGTTCTTCCTGCATCTAGAAAGGCTAAATAAATCTGTTCTTGGACTGAGCTGAGTAAAGCCTGTAAACAAACCTTTGTTGGAAATAGAGGTTGCATGTTTCCTCCAAGTTAGAGGCGCCTGTCCCTGATTGGCCCTGGTGTGATGATGCTCTGACGACATCTCCGGGTCTGTACGGCTCGACGACAGCAGCGTCTTGGAAACGGAACACAAAGAGTCGATTCCCTCCGTCCTCCCGCTCCTCCCCACCGTCAGGACCGGGACACTGATCACCTGGGGGAGAAGGAACGGCTTAATATCACATCAGTTAAACAGTTGGAGCCTGAAAAGGAACAGCTTAATATCACATCAGTTAAACAGTTGGAGCCTGAAAAGGAACAGCTTAATATCACATCAGTTAAACAGTTGGAGCCTGAAAAGGAACGGCTTAATATCACATCAGTTAAACAGTTGGAGCCTGAAAAGGAACAGCTTAATATCACATCAGTTAAACAGTTGGAGCCTGAAAAGGAACAGCTTAATATCACATCAGTTAAACAGTTGGAGCCTGAAAAGGAACAGCTTAATATCACATCAGTTAAACAGTTGGAGCCTGAAAAGGAACAGCTTAATATCACATCAGTTAAACAGTTGGAGCCTGAAAAGGAACAGCTTAATATCACATCAGTTAAACAGTTGGAGCCTGAAAAGGAACAGCTTAATATCACATCAGTTAAACAGTTGGAGCCTGAAAAGGAACAGCTTAATATCACATCAGTTAAACAGTTGGAGCCTGAAAAGGAACGGCTTAATATCACATCAGTTAAACAGTTGGAGCCTGAAAAGGAACAGCTTAATATCACATCAGTTAAACAGTTGGAGCCTGAAAAGGAACGGCTTAATATCACATCAGTTAAACAGTTGGAGCCTGAAAAGGAACAGCTTAATATCACATCAGTTAAACAGTTGGAGCCTGAAAAGGAACAGCTTAATATCACATCAGTTAAACAGTTGGAGCCTGAAAAGGAACAGCTTAATATCACATCAGTTAAACAGTTGGAGCCTGAAAAGGAACGGCTTAATATCACATCAGTTAAACAGTTGGAGCCTGAAAAGGAACAGCTTAATATCACATCAGTTAAACAGTTGGAGCCTGAAAAGGAACGGCTTAATATCACATCAGTTAAACAGTTGGAGCCTGAAAAGGAACGGCTTAATATCACATCAGTTAAACAGTTGGAGCCTGAAAAGGAACAGCTTAATATCACATCAGTTAAACAGTTGGAGCCTGAAAAGGAACAGCTTAATATCACATCAGTTAAACAGTTGGAGCCTGAAAAGGAACGGCTTAATATCACATCAGTTAAACAGTTGGAGCCTGAAAAGGAACGGCTTAATATCACATCAGTTAAACAGTTGGAGCCTGAAAAGGAACAGCTTAATATCACATCAGTTAAACAGTTGGAGCCTGAAAAGGAACAGCTTAATATCACATCAGTTAAACAGTTGGAGCCTGAAAAGGAACAGCTTAATATCACATCAGTTAAACAGTTGGAGCCTGAAAAGGAACAGCTTAATATCACATCAGTTAAACAGTTGGAGCCTGAAAAGGAACAGCTTAATATCACATCAGTTAAACAGTTGGAGCCAGAAAAGGAACAGCTTAATATCAAATCAGTTAAACAGTTGGAGCCTGAAAAGGAACAGCTTAATATCACATCAGTTAAACAGTTGGAGCCTGAAAAGGAACAGCTTAATATCACATCAGTTAAACAGTTGGAGCCTGAAAAGGAACAGCTTAATATCACATCAGTTAAACAGTTGGAGCCTGAAAAGGAACAGCTTAATATCACATCAGTTAAACAGTTGGAGCCTGAAAAGGAACAGCTTAATATCACATCAGTTAAACAGTTGGAGCCTGAAAAGGAACAGCTTAATATCACATCAGTTAAACAGTTGGAGCCTGAAAAGGAACAGCTTAATATCACATCAGTTAAACAGTTGGAGCCTGAAAAGGAACAGCTTAATATCACATCAGTTAAACAGTTGGAGCCTGAAAAGGAACAGCTTAATATCACATCAGTTAAACAGTTGGAGCCTGAAAAGGAACAGCTTAATATCACATCAGTTAAACAGTTGGAGCCTGAAAAGGAACAGCTTAATATCACATCAGTTAAACAGTTGGAGCCTGAAAAGGAACAGCTTAATATCACATCAGTTAAACAGTTGGAGCCTGAAAAGGAACAGCTTAATATCACATCAGTTAAACAGCTGGAGCCTGAAAAGGAACAGCTTAATATCACATCAGTTAAACAGTTGGAGCCTGAAAAGGAACAGCTTAATATCACATCAGTTAAACAGTTGGAGCCTGAAAAGGAACAGCTTAATATCACATCAGTTAAACAGTTGGAGCCTGAAAAGGAACATCTTAATATCACATCAGTTAAACAGCTGGAGCCTGAAAAGGAACAGCTTAATATCACATCAGTTAAACAGCTGGAGCCTGAAAAGGAACAGCTTAATATCACATCAGTTAAACAGTTGGAGCCTGAAAAGGAACAGCTTAATATCACATCAGTTAAACAGTTGGAGCCTGAAAAGGAACAGCTTAATATCACATCAGTTAAACAGTTGGAGCCTGAAAAGGAACAGCTTAATATCACATCAGTTAAACAGTTGGAGCCTGAAAAGGAACAGCTTAATATCACATCAGTTAAACAGTTGGAGCCTGAAAAGGAACAGCTTAATATCACATCAGTTAAACAGTTGGAGCCTGAAAAGGAACAGCTTAATATCACATCAGTTAAACAGTTGGAGCCTGAAAAGGAACAGCTTAATATCACATCAGTTAAACAGTTGGAGCCTGAAAAGGAACAGCTTAATATCACATCAGTTAAACAGTTGGAGCCTGAAAAGGAACAGCTTAATATCACATCAGTTAAACAGTTGGAGCCATTAGATGTCATTAGAAGGTTAGTTGGAGCACTCCTAGTAGATGTCATTAGAAGGTTAGTTGGAGCACTCCTAGCAGATGTCATTACAAGGTTAGTTGGAGCACTCCTAGTAGCTGTCATTATGTTAGTTGGAGCACTCCTAGTAGCTGTCATTATGTTAGTTGGAGCACTCCTAGTAGCTGTCATTACAGGGTTAGTTGGAGCACTCCTAGTAGCTGTCATTACAAGGTTAGTTGGAGCACTCCTAGTAGCTGTCATTATGTTAGTTGGAGCACTCCTAGTAGCTGTCATTACAAGGTTAGTTGGAGCACTCCTAGTAGCTGTCATTACAAGGTTAGTTGGAGCACTCCTAGTAGCTGTCATTACAAGGTTAGTTGGAGCACTCCTAGTAGCTGTCATTACAAGGATAGTTGGAGCACTCCTAGTAGATGTCATTACAAGGTTAGTTGGAGCACTCCTAGTAGCTGTCATTATGTTAGTTGGAGCACTCCTAGTAGCTGTCATTATGTTAGTTGGAGCACTCCTAGTAGATGTCATTAGAAGGTTAGTTGGAGCACTCCTAGTAGCTGTCATTACAAGGTTAGTTGGAGCACTCCTAGTAGATGTCATTAGAAGGTTAGTTGGAGCACTCCTAGTAGATGTCATTACAAGGTTAGTTGGAGCACTCCTAGTAGATGTCATTACAAGGTTAGTTGGAGCACTCCTAGTAGCTGTCATTATGTTAGTTGGAGCACTCCTAGTAGCTGTCATTATGTTAGTTGGAGCACTCCTAGTAGATGTCATTACAAGGTTAGTTGGAGCACTCCTAGTAGCTGTCATTACAAGGATAGTTGGAGCACTCCTAGTAGCTGTCATTACAAGGTTAGTTGGAGCACTCCTAGTAGCTGTCATTATGTTAGTTGGAGCACTCCTAGTAGCTGTCATTACAAGGTTAGTTGGAGCACTCCTAGTAGCTGTCATTACAAGGTTAGTTGGAGCACTCCTAGTAGATGTCATTACAAGGTTAGTTGGAGCACTCCTAGTAGCTGTCATTACAAGGTTAGTTGGAGCACTCCTAGTAGATGTCATTACAAGGTTAGTTGGAGCACTCCTAGTAGCTGTCATTATGTTAGTTGGAGCACTCCTAGTAGATGTCATTACAAGGTTAGTTGGAGCACTCCTAGTAGCTGTCATTACAAGGTTAGTTGGAGCACTCCTAGTAGATGTCATTAGAAGGTTAGTTGGAGCACTCCTAGTAGATGTCATTACAAGGTTAGTTGGAGCACTCCTAGTAGCTGTCATTATGTTAGTTGGAGCACTCCTAGTAGCTGTCATTACAAGGTTAGTTGGAGCACTCCTAGTAGATGTCATTACAAGGTTAGTTGGAGCACTCCTAGTAGCTGTCATTACAAGGTTAGTTGGAGCACTCCTAGTAGATGTCATTACAAGGTTAGTTGGAGCACTCCTAGTAGCTGTCATTACAGGGTTAGTTGGAGCACTCCTAGTAGCTGTCATTATGTTAGTTGGAGCACTCCTAGTAGCTGTCATTATGTTAGTTGGAGCACTCCTAGTAGCTGTCATTATGTTAGTTGGAGCACTCCTAGTAGCTGTCATTATGTTAGTTGGAGCACTCCTAGTAGATGTCATTACAAGGTTAGTTGGAGCACTCCTAGTAGCTGTCATTACAAGGTTAGTTGGAGCACTCCTAGTAGATGTCATTACAAGGTTAGTTGGAGCACTCCTAGTAGATGTCATTACAAGGTTAGTTGGAGCACTCCTAGTAGCTGTCATTACAAGGTTAGTTGGAGCACTCCTAGTAGATGTCATTAGAAGGTTAGTTGGAGCACTCCTAGTAGATGTCATTACAAGGTTAGTTGGAGCACTCCTAGTAGCTGTCATTATGTTAGTTGGAGCACTCCTAGTAGCTGTCATTACAAGGTTAGTTGGAGCACTCCTAGTAGATGTCATTAGAAGGTTAGTTGGAGCACTCCTAGTAGCTGTCATTACAAGGTTAGTTGGAGCACTCCTAGTAGCTGTCATTACAAGGTTAGTTGGAGCACTCCTAGTAGATGTCATTACAAGGTTAGTTGGAGCACTCCTAGTAGATGTCATTACAAGGTTAGTTGGAGCACTCCTAGTAGCTGTCATTACAAGGTTAGTTGGAGCACTCCTAGTAGCTGTCATTACAAGGTTAGTTGGAGCACTCCTAGTAGCTGTCATTATGTTAGTTGGAGCACTCCTAGTAGCTGTCATTACAAGGTTAGTTGGAGCACTCCTAGTAGATGTCATTACAAGGTTAGTTGGAGCACTCCTAGTAGCTGTCATTACAAGGTTAGTTGGAGCACTCCTAGCAGATGTCATTACAAGGTTAGTTGGAGCACTCCTAGTAGCTGTCATTATGTTAGTTGGAGCACTCCTAGTAGATGTCATTACAAGGTTAGTTGGAGCACTCCTAGTAGCTGTCATTATGTTAGTTGGAGCACTCCTAGTAGCTGTCATTACAAGGTTAGTTGGAGCACTCCTAGTAGATGTCATTACAAGGTTAGTTGGAGCACTCCTAGTAGCTGTCATTACAAGGTTAGTTGGAGCACTCCTAGTAGCTGTCATTACAAGGTTAGTTGGAGCACTCCTAGTAGCTGTCATTACAAGGTTAGTTGGAGCACTCCTAGTAGCTGTCATTACAAGGTTAGTTGGAGCACTCCTAGTAGATGTCATTACAAGGTTAGTTGGAGCACTCCTAGTAGCTGTCATTACAAGGTTAGTTGGAGCACTCCTAGTAGATGTCATTACAAGGTTAGTTGGAGCACTCCTAGTAGATGTCATTACAAGGTTAGTTGGAGCACTCCTAGTAGCTGTCATTATGTTAGTTGGAGCACTCCTAGTAGCTGTCATTACAAGGTTAGTTGGAGCACTCCTAGTAGATGTCATTACAAGGTTAGTTGGAGCACTCCTAGTAGCTGTCATTACAAGGTTAGTTGGAGCACTCCTAGTAGATGTCATTACAAGGTTAGTTGGAGCACTCCTAGTAGCTGTCATTACAAGGTTAGTTGGAGCACTCCTAGCAGATGTCATTACAAGGTTAGTTGGAGCACTCCTAGTAGCTGTCATTATGTTAGTTGGAGCACTCCTAGTAGATGTCATTACAAGGTTAGTTGGAGCACTCCTAGTAGCTGTCATTATGTTAGTTGGAGCACTCCTAGTAGCTGTCATTACAAGGTTAGTTGGAGCACTCCTAGTAGATGTCATTACAAGGTTAGTTGGAGCACTCCTAGTAGCTGTCATTACAAGGTTAGTTGGAGCACTCCTAGTAGCTGTCATTACAAGGTTAGTTGGAGCACTCCTAGTAGCTGTCATTACAAGGTTAGTTGGAGCACTCCTAGTAGCTGTCATTACAAGGTTAGTTGGAGCACTCCTAGTAGATGTCATTACAAGGTTAGTTGGAGCACTCCTAGTAGCTGTCATTACAAGGTTAGTTGGAGCACTCCTAGTAGATGTCATTACAAGGTTAGTTGGAGCACTCCTAGTAGATGTCATTACAAGGTTAGTTGGAGCACTCCTAGTAGCTGTCATTACAAGGTTAGTTGGAGCACTCCTAGTAGCTGTCATTACAAGGTTAGTTGGAGCACTCCTAGTAGATGTCATTACAAGGTTAGTTGGAGCACTCCTAGTAGCTGTCATTATGTTAGTTGGAGCACTCCTAGTAGATGTCATTACAAGGTTAGTTGGAGCACTCCTAGTAGATGTCATTAGAAGGTTAGTTGGACGCAATAACCTGGAACAGACTAAAGTGGGAAGGTCTACAGTCATGGAATAAAGAGGAAAACCAGTCACCTGTATTTCAAAGGACAGGCTTCAGAACCATCAAATACAATCTGTTGATGCCATAAAACCTAGGTGGAAAATATCCAGGTTAAGACAACATGATCACTAATGTAGGACCAGCACCATTACTATCTACCAGAGCCATTACTATCTACCAGAGCCACTACTATCTACCAGAGCCACTACTATCTACCAGAGCCACTACTATCTACCAGAGCCATTACTATCTACCAGAGCCACTACTATCTACCAGAGCCATTACTATCTACCAGAGCCACTACTATCTACCAGAGCCATTACTATCTACCAGAGCCACTACTATATACCAGAGCCATTACTATCTACCAGAGCCATTACTATCTACCAGAGCCATTACTATCTACCAGAGCCATTACTATCTAGCATAGCTGGTCCTATTGTTGCAAACAGTTCTGGGTTATTAGAATCCCGTTGTCTTAAACTTTGTCATCTTCAACCTAGCATAAAACTAAATCCAGAAATAATCTAGAATAAAATATTTATAAAAGATGTCTTTCAAGATACAGTATTGTCCATTGTTCCAGTACCTCCTATGAACAGAGGCTTCAGAACCATGCAACACAATTTTGTCGGTTTAATATAATTTGTCCATGCCATATAAATCTAAGCAGAGTATGAAATGAAATGTTTATCTGTTTTGTCTTGCAAGACGTTCCAGTACCTAGTATGAGCAGAGCCTGCTGCCTGGGGTCCAGTAGAAACACAGGATCCCAGGGACTGGCCAGGAGAGAGAAGCAGCACACTACTCTCCCATCTACCACGTCTTGGAGGAAGATCTTCCCATTCCTCTGCATGATCAGAGCCTGTTTACCACGGACCATGAGGAAACATGATCAGAGCCTGTTTACCACGGACCATGAGGAAACATGATCAGAGACTGTTTACCACGGACCATGAGGAAACATGATCAGAGCCTGTTTACCACGGACCATGAGGAAACATGATCAGAGACTGTTTACCACGGACCATGAGGAAACATGATCAGAGCCTGTTTACCACGGACCATGAGGAAACATGATCAGAGACTGTTTACCACGGACCATGAGGAAACATGATCAGAGCCTGTTTACCACGGACCATGAGGAAACATGATCAGAGACTGTTTACCACAGACCATGAGGAAACATGATCAGAGACTGTTTACCACGGACCATGAGGAAACATGATCAGAGACTGTTTACCACGGACCATGAGGAAACATGATCAGAGCCTGTTTACCACGGACCATGAGGATAACTAAGATAGGAGTAGCAAGATAACTAAGATAGGAGTAGCAAGATAACTAAGATAGGAGTAGTAAGATAACTAAGATAGGAGTAGTAAGGTAAATAAGATAGAAGTAGTAAGATAACTAAGATAGGAGTAGTAAGGTAACTAAGATAGGAGTAGTAAGATAACTAACATAGAAGTAATAAGATAACTAAGATAGGAGTAATAAGATAACTAAGATAGGAGTAGTACGATAACTAAGATAGGAGTAATAAGATAACTAAGATAGGAGTAGAAAGATAAGATAACTAAGATAGGAGTAGTAAGACAACTAAGATAGAAGTAGTAAGATAAGATGACTAAGATAGGAGTAGTAAGATAACTAAGATAGGAGTAGTAAGACAACTAAGATACGAACAATAAGATAACTAAGATAGGAGTAGTAAGGAGTAGAAAGATAAGATAACTAAGATAGGAGTAGTAAGATAACTAAGATAGGAGTAGTAAGATAAAATTACTAAGATAGGAGTAGTAAGATAACTAAGATAGGAGTAGTAAGACAACTAAAATAGGAGTAATAAGATAACTAAGATAGGAGTAGTAAGATAACTAACATAGAAGTAATAAGGTAACTAAGATAGAAGTAGTAAGATAACTAAGATAGGAGTAGTAAGGTAACTAAGATAGGAGTAGTAAGATAACTAACATAGAAGTAATAAGATAACTAAGATAGGAGTAATAAGATAACTAAGATAGGAGTAGTACGATAACTAAGATAGGAGTAGTAAGATAAGATGACTAAGATAGGAGTAGTAAGATAACTAACATAGAAGTAATAAGATAACTAAGATAGGAGTAATAAGATAACTAAGATAGGAGTAGTACGATAACTAAGATAGGAGTAGTAAGATAAGATGACTAAGATAGGAGTAGTAAGATAACTAAGATAGGAGTAGTAAGATAACTAAGATAGGAGTAGTAAGATAACTAACAGAAGTAATAAGATAACTAAGATAGGAGTAGCAAGATAACTAAGATAGGAGTAGAAAGATAAGATAACTAAGATAGGAGTAGCAAGATAACTAAGATAGGAGTAGCAAGATAACTAAGATAGGAGTAGTAAGATAACTAACAGAAGTAATAAGATAACTAAGATAGGAGTAGCAAGATAACTAAGATAGGAGTGGAAAGATAAGATAACTAAGATAGGAGTAGCAAGATAACTAAGATAGGAGTAGCAAGATAACTAAGATAGGAGTAGTAAGATAACTAAGATAGGAGTAGTAAGGTAAATAAGATAGAAGTAGTAAGATAACTAAGATAGGAGTAGTAAGGTAACTAAGATAGGAGTAGTAAGATAACTAACATAGAAGTAATAAGATAACTAAGATAGGAGTAATAAGATAACTAAGATAGGAGTAGTACGATAACTAAGATAGGAGTAATAAGATAACTAAGATAGGAGTAGAAAGATACGATAACTAAGATAGGAGTAGTAAGATAACTAAGATAGGAGTAGTAAGATAACTAAGATAGGAGTAGAAAGATACGATAACTAAGATAGGAGTAGTAAGATAACTAAGATAGGAGTAGTAAAATAACTAAGATAGGAGTAGAAAGATAATATAACTAAGATAGGAGTAGTAAGACAACTAAGATAGAAGTAGTAAGATAAGATGACTAAGATAGGAGTAGTAAGATAACTAAGATAGGAGTAGTAAGACAACTAAGATAGGAACAATAAGATAACTAAGATAGGAGTAGTAAGATAACTAAGATAGGAGTAGTAAGATAACTAACAGAAGTAATAAGATAACTAAGATAGGAGTAGCAAGATAACTAAGATAGGAGTAGAAAGATAAGATAACTAAGATAGGAGTAGTAAGATAACTAAGATAGGAGTAGTAAGATAACTAAGATAGAATTAATAAGATAACTAAGATAGGAGTAGTAAGATAACTAAGATAGGAGTAGTAAGATAACTAAGATAGGAGTAGTAAGATAACTAAGATAGGAGTAGTAAGATAACTAAGATAGGAGTAGTAAGATAACTAAGATAGAAGTAGTAGGATAAGATGACTAAGATAGGAGTAGTAAGATAACTAAGATAGGAGTAGTAAGATAACTAAGATAGAAGTAATAAGATAACTAAGATAGGAGTAGTAAGATAAGTTAACTAAGATAGGAGTAGTAAGATAACTAAGATAGAAGTAGTAAGATAAAATGACTAAGATAGGAGTAGTAAGATAACTAAGATAGAAGTAGTAAGATAACTAAGATAGGAGTAGAAAGATAAGATGACTAAGATAGGAGTAGTAAGATAACTAAGATAGGAGTAGTAAGATAACTAAGATAGAAGTAGTAAGATAACCAAGATAGGAGTAGAAAGATAAGATGACTAATAATAATAATAATATAATATGCCATTTAGCAGACGCTTTTATCCAAAGCGACTTACAGTCATGCGTGCATACATTTTTTTTTGTGTATGGGTGGTCCCGGGGATCGAACCCACTACCTTGGCTAAGATAGGAGTAGTAAGATAACTAAGATAGGAGTAGTAAGAAAACTAAGATAGAAGTAGTAAGATAACTAAGATAGGAGTAGAAAGATAAGATGACTAAGATAGGAGTAGTAAGATAACTAAGATAGGAGTAGAAAGATAAGATGACTAAGATAGGAGTAGTAAGATAACTAAGATAGAAGTAGTAAGATAACTAAGATAGGAGTAGTAAGATAAGATTACTAAGATAGGAGTAGTAAGATAACTAAGATAGGAGTAGAAAGATAAGACAGCTAAGATAGGAGTAGTAAGATAACTAAGATACAGTGAGGGAAAAAAATTATTTGATCCCCTGCTGATTTTGTACGTTTGCCCACTGACAAAGAAACGATCAGTCTATAATTTTAATGGTAGGTTTATTTGAACAGTGAGAGACAGAATAACAACAAAAAAATCCAGAAAAACGCATGTCAAAAATGTTATAAATTGATTTGCATTTTAATGAGGGAAATAGGTATTTGACCCCCTCTCAATCAGAAAGATTTCTGGCTCCCAGGTGTCTTTATACAGGTAACGAGCTGAGATTAGGAGCACACTCTTAAAGGGAGTGCTTCTAATCTCAGCTTGTTACCTGTATAAAAGACACCTGTCCACAGAAGCAATTAATCAATTAGATTCCAAACTCTCCACCATGGCCAAGACCAAAGAGCTCTCCAAGGATGTCAGGCACAAGATTGTAGACCTACACAAGGCTGGAATGGGCTACAAGACCATCGCCAAGCAGCTTGGTGAGAAGGTGACAACAGTTGGTGCGATTATTCGCAAATGGAAGAAACACAAAAGAACTGTCAATCTCCCTCGGCCTGGGGCTCCATGCAAGATCTCACCTCGTGTAGTTGCAATGATCATGAGAACGGTGAGGAATCAGCCCAGAACTACACAGGAGGATCTTGTCAATGATCTCAAGGCAGCTGGTGTCACGCCCTGGCTCTAGGGACTCTTTTAAGTTGAGCCAGGGTGTGTAGAGTTTATGTTTTGTGCTCGTTGTGTCTAGTCTAGTTTTTGTATATCTATGTTGGCCAGAGTGGTTCTCAATCAGAGGCAACGAGTGTCAGCTGTTGCTGGTTGTCTCTGATTGGGAACCATATTTAGTCAGGTGGTTTTCCCACAGTGTTGGTGGGATCTTGTTCCGTGTTGGTGTGTTTATTGTAACCAAGGACGTCACGTTATCGTTTTGTTCGTGTATCATTAAATAAATAAGTATGTTCACCTTCCACGCTGCGCCTTGGTCCTCTGTTCCCGACGATCGTGACAGCTGGGACCATAGTCACCAAGAAAACAATTGGTAACACACTACGCCGTGAAGGACTGAAATCCTGCAGCGCCCGCAAGGTCCCCCTGCTCAAGAAAGCACATATACAGGGCCGTCTGAAGTTTGCCAATGAACATCTGAATGATTCAGAGGAGAACTGGGTGAAAGTGTTGTGGTCAGATGAGACCAAAATCGAGCTCTTTGGCATCAACTCAACTCACCGTGTTTGGAGGAGGAGGAATGCTGCCTATGACCCCAAGAACACCATCCCCACCGTCAAACATGGAGGTGGAAACATTATGCTTTGGGGGTGTTTTTCTGCTAAGGGGACAGGACAACTTCACCGCATCAAAGGGACGATGGACGGGGCCATGTACCGTCAAATCTTGGGCGAGAACCTCCTTCCCTCAGCCAGGGCATTGAAAATGGGTCGTGGATGGGTATTCCAGCATGACAATGACCCAAAACACACGGCCAAGGCAACAAAGGAGTGGCTCAAGAAGCAGCACATTAAGGTCCTGGAGTGGCCTAGCCAGTCTCCAGACCTTAATCCCATAGAAATTCTGTGGAGGGAGCTGAAGGTTCGAGTTGCCAAACGTCAGCCTCGACACCTTAATGACTTGGAGAAGATCTGCAAAGAGGAATGGGACAAAATCCCTCCTGATATGTGTGCAAACCTGGTGGCCAACTACAAGAAATGTCTGACCTCTGTGATTGCCAACAAGGGTTTTGCCACCAAGTACTAAGTAATGTTTTGCAGAGCTGTCAAATACTTACTTCCCTCATTAAAATGCAAATCAATTTATAACATTTTTGACATGCGTTTTTCTGGATTTTTTTGTTGTTATTCTGTCTCTCACTGTTCAAATAAACCTACCATTAAAATTATAGACTGATCATTTCTTTGTCAGTGGGCAAACGTACAAAATCAGCAGGGGATCAAATCCTTTTTCCCTCACTGTAGATAGAGGATAGTGACACAGAGAAACACACTAGTCCAGCATCACTGGAATCTTCTAAATCACTCCATCTGATGAGAGGGAGATGGACATGGTGGCCTGAGAGTCAACATAATGAAGCTGGTTTACCAGGCGCTGGAGGAACGGAACAGTAGCAGTCACCACGGGGAGACAGCCTGGATCTGATGGTCTGACAGATAGGAGACAGGAGAGACAGGAAGTTATGGAGGGAGGGGAAACAGCCTGGAGCTGATGGTCTGACAGATAGGAGACAGGAGAGACAGGAAGTTATGGAGGGAGGGGAAACACCCTGGAGCTGATGGTCTGACAGATAGAAGACAGGAGAGACAGGAAGTTATGGAGGGAGGGGAAACACCCTGGAGCTGATGGTCTGACAGATAGAAGACAGGAAGTTATGGAGGGAGGGGAAACAGCCTGGAGCTGATGGTCTGACAGATAGAAGACAGGAGAGACAGGAAGTTATGGAGGGAGGGGAAACACCCTGGAGCTGATGGTCTGACAGATAGAAGACAGGAGAGACAGGAAGTTATGGAGGGAGGGGAAACACCCTGGAGCTGATGGTCTGACAGATAGGAGACAGGAGAGACAGGAAGTTATGGAGGGAGGGGAGACACCCTGGAGCTGATGGTCTGACAGATAGAAGACAGGAGAGACAGGAAGTTATGGAGGGAGGGGGAACACCCTGGAGCTGATGGTCTGACAGATAGGAGACAGGAGAGACAGGAAGTTATGGAGGGAGGGGAAACAGCCTGGAGCTGATGGTCTGACAGATAGGAGACAGGAGAGACAGGAAGTTATGGAGGGAGGGGAAACAGCCTGGAGCTGATGGTCTGACAGATAGAAGACAGGAGAGACAGGAAGTTATGGAGGGAGGGGAAACACCCTGGAGCTGATGGTCTGACAGATAGGAGACAGGAAGTTATGGAGCTCTATATCATGTTTCTATCAATGTTTATGTAATGTAACTTGGTATGGGTTACTCAAGTTAACCTTCTGATAGATTGTGTAGAATAGAATAGAATCCTGTAAACCTTTCTGATAGTTGTGTGACATCATGAGAGTTCAGTCCTCTTCCTGCATAGACTAGATGACATGCTCCACTCTTACAGGTGACCAGTATATGGACCTGTGTGCTGGTGTGGGTAGCACCCTGGCTGTGTGGGGCATCCTCAGCAGCAGTACGAGGCCAGTCATCCACAAACATAATGCTGCTGAACACACTGTCTGCTGCCAATGAGACAACAGACAGAGGAAGACCTACACAATGGGGGAGAGAGATAAGAGGCTTCCTGCACAGTCATATTCATTTCATCCATTTAGGAAATAAATACCTACAGCGCATCTCTTCTAGGTTCTTATACAGATAAGAAATAGGCTCGAGGGTCTGTGCATATGAAACGGCAACTTAACAACCGAGGTAAACAAAACAAAGAAATAAGAAAACATTTACTTAGAAATATTATGGTGTTGTGTGCTTTTCACCAGTGGCCTCATTTACAAACGTTGCATATGCATAAAGATATACCCCAAAACATGCATTCGCCAGTTCAGGCAAAAGTTGGCATTTATCAAATCTGACCTTGATGTGAGAATGTGCCTATCCTCAGGCAAACTTTAGACCAGTGGTCACCAACCGGTCAATCGACTGGTGGATCTTCAAGGCATTACTAGTGGATCACCAACCGGTCAATCGACTGGTGGATCTTCAAGGCATTACTAGTGGATCACCAACCGGTCAATCGACTGGTGGATCTTCAAGGCATTACTAGTCGATCACCAAACGTTTGTGTCGAAAAGCCAATGATAAAGACTTGCACTCCTTTTTGTTTTATTGGTGTTGTGCTGTTGGCGGTAGGTGCATTTGATTCAGAAGCCCTGTTGGCGGTAGGTGCATTTGATTCAGAAGCCCTGTTGGCGGTAGGTGCATTTGATTCAGAAGCCCTGTTGGCGGTAGGTGCATTTGATTCAGAAGCCCTGTTGGCGGTAGGTGCATTTGATTCAGAAGCCCTGTTGGTGGTAGGTGCATTTGATTCAGAAGCCCTGTTGGCGGTAGGTGCATTTGATTCAGAAGCCCTGTGCACTGGGTAGGCTAATTGTTCCCATTTGTAACCCTTTAATTTGTCTGAAAAGACAATCTCCGCCTACCCGGAAGACCGGGAGATCTGTGGCTAAATTGAGTGCTGCTGGCCAATCGGATAGTTCAAATCACTGAGTCTACAGCTTCTACGACCCCCGGCCACAGCAAAGTTTGATACTCGCCTACGTAAGATTTCATAACTTTTAAAACCATGACCAAAGAAAGAATACAGCACAGAGCTGCTGTTTTTATGAGTGAATTCATGTTTAAGTTTTTATTTAGTACTGTCAACACTCTTTTTTTTCAGACCTGTCAACACTGTTTTTATTCAGTACTGTCAGCACTGTTTTTATTTAGTACTGTCAACACTCTTTTTTTTCAGACCTGTCAACACTGTTTTTATTCAGTACTGTCAGCACTGTTTTTATTCAGTACTGTCAACACTCTTTTTTTTCAGTACTGTCAACACTGTTTTTATTCAGACCTGTCAACAGTTTTTATTCAGTACTGTCAGCACTGTTTTTATTTAGTACTGTCAACACTCTTTTTTTTCAGTACTGTCAGCACTGTTTTTATTCAGACCTGTCAGCACTGTTTTTATTCAGTACTGTCAACACAGTTTTTATTCAGACCTGTCAACAGTTTTTATTCAGTACTGTCAACACTGTTTTTATTCAGTACTGTCAACACTGTTTTTATTCAGTACTGTCAACACTGTTTTTATTCAGTTCTGTCAACACTGTTTTTATTCAGTACTGTCAACACTGTTTTTATTCAGTTCTGTCAACACTGTTTTTATTCAACTCTATTACAAAACATAAAACGTGCTTCTCTCTACTTCCACTCTCGCTGCAGCTGCAATGAATGAGTAGCAAAGTGTATCGATAGCCCTGCATTTGTACTATTATTAACAACTAGTGGTGTGTATTCATGGATGCCAAGGGAAGCCAGGCTTCCCCCAAAAAATGTACCAATAAAAAAATGGCAGCTGGGACCATAGTCACCAAGAAAACAATTGGTAACACACTATGCCGTGAAGGACTGAAATCCTGCAGCGCCCGCAAGGTCCCCCTGCTCAAGAAAGCACATATACAGGGCCGTCTGAAGTTTGCCAATGAACATCTGAATGATTCAGAGGAGAACTGGGTGAAAGTGTTATGTTCAGATGAGACCAAAATGGAGCATCAACTCAACTCGCCGTGTTTGGAGGAGGAGGAATGCTGCCTATGATCCCAAGAACACCATCCCCACCGTCAAACATGGAGGTGGAAACATTATGCTTTGGGGGTGTTTTTCTGCTAAGGGGACAGGACAACTTCACCGCATCAAAGGGACAATGGACGGGGCCATGTACCGTCAAATCTTGGGTGAGAACCTCCTTCCCTCAGCCAGGGCATTGAAAATGGGTCGTGGATGGGTATTCCAGCATGACAATGACCCAAAACACACGGCCAAGGCAACAAAGGAGTGGCTCAAGAAGAAGCACATTAAGGTCCTGGAGTGGCCTAGCCAGTCTCCAGACCTTAATCCCATAGAAAATCTGTGGAGGGAGCTGAAGGTTCGAGTTGCCAAACGTCAAGCTCGAAACCTTAATGACTTTAATGAACATGCACCTGTGGAACGGTCGTTAAGACACTAACAGCTTACAGACGGTAGGCAATTAAGGTCACAGTTATGAAAACTTAGGACACTAAAGAGGCCTTTCTACTGACTCTGAAAAACACCAAAAGAAAGATGCCCAGGGTCCCTGCTCATCTGCGTGAACGTGCCTTAGGCATGCTGCAAGGAGGCATGAGGACTGCAGATGTGTCCAGGGTTATATATATTGCAATGTCCGTACTGTGAGACGCCTAAGACAGCGCTACAGGGAGACAGGACGGACAGCTGATCGTCCTCGCAGTGGCAGACCACGTGAAAATGGGTCGTGGATGGGTATTCCAGCATGACAATGACCCAAAACACACGGCCAAGGCAACAAAGGAGTGGCTCAAGAAGAAGCACATTAAGGTCCTGGAGTGGCCTAGCCAGTCTCCAGACCTTAATCCCATAGAAAATCTGTGGAGGGAGCTGAAGGTTCGAGTTGCCAAACGTCAAGCTCGAAACCTTAATGACTTTAATGAACATGCACCTGTGGAACGGTCGTTAAGACACTAACAGCTTACAGACGGTAGGCAATTAAGGTCACAGTTATGAAAACTTAGGACACTAAAGAGGCCTTTCTACTGACTCTGAAAAACACCAAAAGAAAGATGCCCAGGGTCCCTGCTCATCTGCGTGAACGTGCCTTAGGCATGCTGCAAGGAGGCATGAGGACTGCAGATGTGTCCAGGGTTACATATATTGCAATGTCCGTACTGTGAGACGCCTAAGACAGCGCTACAGGGAGACAGGACGGACAGCTGATCGTCCTCGCAGTGGCAGACCACGTGTAACAACACCTGCACAGGATCGGTACATCCGAACATCACACCTGCGGGACAGGTACAGGATGGCATCATTAACTGCCCGAGTTACACCAGGAACGCACAATCCCTCCATCAGTGCTCAGACTGTCCGCAATAGGCCTGTTGTAGGCCTGTTGTAAGGCAGGTCCTCACCAGACATCACCGGCAACAACGTTGCCTATGGGCACAAACCCACCGTCGCTGGACCAGACAGGACTGGCAAAAAGTGCTCTTCACTGACGAGTCGCGGTTTTGTCTCACCAGGGGTGATGGTTGGATTCGCGTTTATCGTCGAACGAATGAGCATTACACCGAGGCCTATCATTGCAGGCAATCTCAACGCTGTGCGTTACAGGGAAGACATCCTCTTCCCTCATGTGGTACCCTTCCTGCAGGCTCATCCTGACATGACCCTCCAGCATGACAATGCCACCAGCCATACTGCTCGTTCTGTGCGTGATTTCCTGCAAGACAGGAATGTCAGTGTTCTGCCATGGCCAGCGAAGAGCAAGGATCTCAATCTGGGCACGTCTGGGACCTGTTGGATCGGAGGGTGAGGGCTAGGGCCATTCCCCCCAGAAATGTCCAGGAACTTGCAGGTGCCTTGGTGGAAGAGTGGGGTAACATCTCACAGCAAGAACTGGCAAATCTGGTGCAGTCCATGAGGAGGAGATGCACTGCAGTACTTAATGCAGCTGGTTACTTTTGATTTTGACCCCCCCTTTGGTCATTTATGTTAGTCACATGTCTGTGGAACTTGTTCAGTTTATGTCTCAGTTGTTGAATCTTGTTATGTTCATACAAATATTTACACATGTTAAGTTTGCTGAAAATAAACGCAGTTGACAGTGAGAGGACGTTTATTTTTATTGCTGAGTTTATATCATATATCATAACCATTTTCAGAATGAATTCCGCACCTTTTCTGGCCGTGATGGTTGATATTCCCCAAGTAGCCATACAACAGATGACCATGCACATCTCTCCTTGGGCCTATTAGATATTATAACTAAATGTTTTTGCATCCGAAAGGGAGCGCGGTTTATAACATACAGTAGAATTTAACAGTTGAACAGGTAGGCTAGCGCTGTACTGTAGTTTTCATTTTTTTCAATGTTTCAGAATTCGCGGGCAGTACAGCATAGCCTATTTAGGTTTGGGAAAAAGTAAATACAAAACATTCTTGAATTCAAAACGGTCTGTTTACAGGTCCACAACAATGTGCAATTGTTTTTGTCTTTCAGAAACGGACAGATAATCTACAGCAAATGTCACAGCAAAAGAAAACATTGTGCCAACCCCTCCAAAGACATCTGCATGGATATTTCCTTAGAAACTGTCTTGGCCTAATTCCAATACTTCCAAAGTATACAGCAAATTAGAGTGTTATTGTCACTATAAAAGGTGAATGGAGGCGTTTTCCAGGCGGAGTTATAGTGCTCGTTCACGTGCACAGTTTTACGACAGGTCTGATTTATAACTGGAAACTTTATCAATCTCAATATTATTGTGCGTGCGATATTTAGTGTAACATTGAGGCCCCAGAACCAGTGTGAAGTGAACTCACCTAAGTGTCTGTCCCAGACAGTGACCAGTTCAGTAACCAGGCCCAGAGTTATGTGTCTAGTACAGCTGCTAACAGCAGAACACAGGATCTCCTGGGCGTTGGGCCACAAGGCATCAGGCTCCGGGTCTGGAACAGAGAGACATGATGAGCTGCAACACTGCTGGCCATGAACCGTTCCTACACCCAGAACGTTCAGGTAATATACTGACATACACTAGAAGGGCCTGTATTCATAAAGCCTCAGAGTGGGAGTGCTGATCTGGGATCAGGTCCCCTCTGTCCATGGAATCATCTAAATGGTCAAACTGATCCTAGATCAGACACTTGAATACAGACCCAGGATCTTATTTAACATCAACACAGATCCTATTGTAATCTCATAGTACGCGTGACTAAAGAACCCCCAACCTAATCATCCTACCTGGTTTGTCTTTGGGAGCAGTTCACAGTAAGAATCAGCAGAATGGGTCAACAAACTGACACAGAAGACACAGGAATAACAGACCGGACGATTACCACGGAGAGAGAGACAGCAGGGGAAAGAGACAGCAGGGGGAAGAAGAGAGGACAGGCACGGGGAGAGAGAGACAGACAGGGGGAGAGAGACAGCAGGGGGAGAGAGAGACAGCAGGGGGAGAGAGACAGACAGGGGGAGAGAGAGACAGACAGGGGAGAGAGAGACAGACAGGGGAGAGAGAGACAGACAGGGGAGAGAGAGGACAGACAGGGGAGAGAGAGACGACAGGGGGAGAGAGAGACAGACAGGGGGAGAGAGACAGACAGGGGAGAGAGAGACAGACAGGGGAGAGAGAGACAGACAGGGGGAGAGAGAGACAGACAGGGGGAGAGAGAGACAGACAGGGGAGAGAGAGACAGACAGGGGAGAGAGAGACAGACAGGGGAGAGAGAGACAGACAGGGGAGAGAAGAGGGAGAGAGAGCAGACAGGGGGAGAGAGAGACAGACAAGGGGGAGAGAGAGACAGACAGGGGGGAGAGAGAGACAGACAGGGGAGAGAGGACAGACAGGGGAGAGAGAGACAGACAGGGGAGAGAAGACCAGGGAGAGAGACAGACAGGGGAAGAGAGAACAGACAGGGGCAGAGAGAGACAGACAGGGGAGAGAGAGACAGACAGGGGGAGAGAGACAGACAGGGGGAGAGAGAGACAGACAGGGGGAGAGAGACAGACAGGGGGAGAGAGAGACAGGGGAGAGAGGCAGACAGGGGAGAGAGAGACGACAGGGGGAGAGAGAGACAGACAGGGGAGAGGGAGAGACAGACAGGGGAGAGAGAGACAGACAGGGGGAGAGAGAGACAGACAGGGGGAGAGAGAGACAGACAGGGGGGAGAGAGACAGACAGGGGGAGAGAGACAGACAGGGGGAGAGAGAGACAGACAGGGGAGAGAGAGACAGACAGGGGGAGAGAGAGACAGACAGGGGGAGAGAGATACGACGGGGGAGAGAGAGACCGACAGGGGATAGAGAGACAGACAGGGGGGAGAAGAGAGACAGACAGGGGGGGAGAAGAGAGAACAGGACAGGGGGAGAGAGAGACAGGACAGGGGGAGGAGAGACAGACAGGGGGAGAGAGAGACAGACAGGGGGAGAGAGACAGACCAAGACAAGGGGGGGAGAGAGACGACCAGAACAGGGGGAAGAGACGAGACAGACAGGGGGAGAGAGAGACAGACAGGGGGGGAGAGAAGCAGGGGAGAGAGACGACAGGGGGAGATAGAGAACAGACAGGGGAGAGAGAGACAGGCAGGGAAGAAGGAGACAGAAGGGGGAGAGAGAAGAGACAGACAGGGAGCGAGAGACAGACAGGGGGAGAGAGAGAGACAGGACAGGGGGGAGGAGAGACAGACGGGGAAGACAGGGGAGAGAGAGACAGGGGAGAGGAGCAGACAGGGTGGAGAGAGACAGAACAGGGGGAGAGAGAGACAGGCACAGGGGGAGAAGAGAGACAGACAGGGGGAGAGAGACAGGACAGGGGGGGTTAGAGAGACAGACAGGGGGAGAGAGAGACAGACCGGGGGGAGAGAGAGACAACAAGGGGGAGAGGACAGACAGGGAGAGACAGATCCAGACAGGGGGAGGAGAGAGAGACAGGGGGAGAGAGACAGACAGGGGGAGAGAGGACAGGACAGGGGAGAGGAGAGACAGACAGGGGGAGAGAGAACAGACAGGGGGAGAGAGACAGACAGGGGAGAGAGAGACACAGGGGAGAGAGAAGACAGGGAGACAGAGACAGACAGGGGAGAGAGAGACAGGCAGGGGAGAGGGACAGACAGGGGAGAGAGAGAGACAGCAGGGGGAGAGAGACAGACAGGGGAGAGAAAAGACAGAAGGGGAGAGAGAAGACAGGGGGAGAGAGAGAGCAGACAGGGGGAGAGAGAGACAGACAGGGGGAGAGAGAAGAACAGGGGGAGAGAGACAGACAGGGGGAGAGAGACAGACAGGGGAGAGAGAGACAGACAGGGGGAGAGAGGAGACAGACCAGGGGAGAGAGAGACAGACAGGGGAGAAGAGAGACAGACAGGGGAGAGAGAGACAGACAGGGGGAGAGAAGACAGACAGGGGGAGAGAGAGACAGACAGGGGGAGAAGGAGACAGACAGGGGAGAGAGAGAGACAGACAGGGGGGAGAGAGAGACAGACAGGGGGAGAGAGAGACAGACAGGGGATGAGAGACAGACAGGGGGAGAGAGAGACAGACAGGGGGAGAGAGACAAGAGACAGGGGGGAGAGAGAGACAGACAGGGGGAGAGAGACAGACAGGGGAGAGGAGACAGACAGGGGAGAGAGAGACAGACAGGGGGAGAGAGAGACAGACAGGGGGAGAGAGAGACAGACAGGGGAGAGAGACAGACAGGGGGAGAGAGAGACAGACAGGGGGAGAGAGACAGACAGGGGGAGAGAGAGAGAGACCAGGGGGGAGAGAGAGACAGACAGGGGGAGAGAGACAGACAGGGGGAGAGAGAGACAGACAGGGGGAAGAGAGACAGACAGGGGGGAGAGAGACAGACAGGGGGAGAGAGAGACAGACAGGGGGAGAGAGGACAGACAGGGGAGAGAGAGACAGACAGGGGGAGAGAGACAGACAGGGGGGAGAAGAGAAGACAGGGGGAGAGACAGGACAGGGGGGAGAGAGAGACAGGACAGGGGGGGAGAGAGAGACAGACAGGGGGAGAGAGAGGACAGACAGGGGAGAGAGAGGGGAAGACAGGGGGAGAGAGAGACAGACAGGGGGAGAGAGACAGACAGGGGGGAGAGAGACAGACAGGGGGAGAGAGGAGAGAGAGACAGACAGGGAGAGATAGACAGGGACAGGGGAGAGAGAGACAACAGGGGGAGAGAGAACAGGGGGAGAGAGACAGGACAGGGGGAGGAGAGAGGGAAGAAAGGGGGAGAGAGACAGACAGGGGGAGAGAGAGACAGACAGGGGGAGAGAGAGAGACAGACAGGGGAGAGAGAGAACAGGAAGGGGCGAGAGAGAGGACAGACAGGGGGAGAGAGAGAGACAGACAGGGGAGAGAGGAGAGAGCGACAGACAGGGGGAGAGAGAGACAGGGGGGAGAGGAGACAGACGGGGAGGGGAGAGACAGACAGGGGGAGAGAGAGAAGACAGGGGGAGAGAGAGACAGGGGGAGAGAGAGACAGACAGGGGGAGAGAGAGACAGACAGTGGGACATGGAATCTGCGTATTTCTCCAAAGCTCAGTTGTCCTGAGTCTGCACAGAACTGCCAGGACCTCGGATCAATAGAGACACTTAAGTCTTTTCATGAAAATACTCATGGCCTCTAAACCTTCAAGCTGCATACTGGACCCTATTCCAACTAAACTACTGAAAGAGCTACTTCCTGTGCTTGGCCCTGCTATGTTGAACATAATAAATGGCTCCCTATCCACTGGATGTGAACCAAACTCACTAAAAGTGGCAGTAATAAAGCCTCTCCTGAAAAAGCCAAACCTTGACCCGGAAAATGTAAAAAAAACTATCGGCCTATATCGAATCTCCAATTCCTCTCAAAGAAAATTTAAAAAGCTGTTGCGCAGCAATTCACTGCCTTCCTGAAGACAAATCATGTATACGACCGCTTCAGTCTGGTTTTAGACACCATCATAGCACTGAGACTGCACTCGTGAAGGTGGTAAATTACCTTTTAATGGCGTCAGACCAAGGCTCTGCATCTGTCCTCGTGCTCCTAGACCTTAGTGCTGCTTTTGACAACATTGATCACCACATTCTTTTGGAGAGATTGTAAACCTTAATTGGTTTACACGGACAAGTTCTTGCCTGGTTTAGATCTTATCTGTCTGAAAGATATCAGTTCGTCTCTGTGGATGGTTTGTCCTCTGACAAATCAATGGTAGGTTTCAGTGTTCCTCAAGGTTCCGTTTTAGGACCACTATTGTTTTCAATACACCATCCATAATTTGCAAATAAATTCATAAAAAATCCTACAATGTGATTTTCTGGATTTTTTTTTCTCATTTTGTCTGTCATAGTTGACGTGTACCTATGATGAAAATTACAGGCCTCTCTCATCTTTTTAAGTGGGAGAACTTGCACAATTGGTGGCTGACTAAATACTTTTTTTCCCCACTGTAAGGAAGTGGATGGCGGCAAATGTTTTACTTTTAAACTCGGACAAAACAGAGATGCTAGTTCTAGGTCCCAAGAAACAAAGAGATCTGCTGTTGGATCTGACAATTAATCTTGATGGTTGAACAGTCGTCTCAAAACTGTGAAGGACCTCGGCGTTACTCTGAACCCTGATCTCTCTTTTGACGAACATATCAAGAATATTTCAAGGGCAGCTTTTTTCCATCTTCGTAACATTGCAAAAATCTGAAACTTTTAGTCCAAAAATGATGCAGCTAATCCATGCTTTTGTCACTTCTAGAGTAGACTACTGCAATGCTCTACTCTCCGGCTAAAGCACTAAATAAACTTCAGTTAGTGCTAAACACGGCTGCTAGAATCTTCACTAGAACCAAGAAATGTGATCATATTCCTCCAGTGCTAGCCTCTCTACACTGGCTTCCTGTTAAGGCTAGGACTGATTTCAAGGTTGGACTACCTGGCCTGATGACTCCTGGCTGTCCCCAGTCCACTTGGCCTTAATGGCCATGTCCTCTTATAATATCCACCCGGCACAGCCAGAAGAGGACTGGCCACCCCTCAGAGCCTGGTTCCTCTCTAGGTTTCTTCCTAGGTTCCTGCCTTTCTAGGGAGTTTGTTCTAGCCACCGTGCTTCTACATCTGCATTGCTTGTTGTTTGGGGTTTTAGGCTGGGTTTCTGTATAGAAATGTAAGATACATCTGATTTTTATTTGATAAAGGGGATGTATTTTATTACAAATAGAAGGGTTAGGGTTAGGGCTCCTAAGAAATGAGTAAGATAAATACATCTGATTTAAGAGTTGATAAAATGTATATTTTATGGGTTGTCGATCTCAATCTGCATCAGAAGCCATGGCATTAATTAAATACTTAAATACAGAACCCATGGCATTAATTAAATACTTAAATACAGAACCCATGGCATTAATTAAATACTTAAATACAGAACCCATGGCATCAATTAAATACTTAAATACAGAACCCATGGCTTCAATTAAAGATTTAAATACAGAACCCATGACATCAATTAAAGATTTAAATACAGAACCCATGACATCAATTAAAGATTTAAATACAGAACCCATGACATCAATTAAATATTTAAATACAGAACCCATGGCATCAATTAAAGATTGAAATACAGAACCCATGACATCAATTAAAGATTTAAATACAGAACCCATGGCATCAATAAAATATTTAAAAACAGATTCATGATATTCAAATGTAATGAAAATACATATTTGGTCAATTGTCTTAACCCACCTGTCTGAGGCTTAACTCCTTCCAGGACAGGAAACACACCTCCAGCAAACAGGAAATGACTGGTCACACAGCTTAAAACAACACAGCATCTCCATGGTTACAACACTAACACGTAATCTCCACGGTTACAACACTAACATGTCATCTCCACGGTTACAACACTAGTGCACCTTTCATGTCCAAGTCTAAAGGCTATGTCAACATGAACTCACGAGTGATTGAAGTCCAAAAGCTAGCAATGGGCGGATTCTATTATACTGAGCCGCGGGGCACCGGTCTATGCCCCGTGACGTGAACTGGAAAAGCTGTGAGGGAGGAGAGCCCTTCTCAAATCCAACAGTAATCTGCGTCGCTCGGTCATGTTGTCAACAAGGCAGCATGGTGCATCATCCAGAAACATACAACATCTCTTTTGTATAAAATACAGTTGAAGTCGGAAGTTTACATACACTTAGGTTGGAGTCATTAAAACTCGTTTTTCAACCACTCCACAAATGTCTTGTTAACAAACTATAGTTTTGGCAAGTCGGTTAGGACATCTACTTTGTGCATGACACAAGTAATTTTTCCAACAATTGTTTACAGACAGATTATTTCACTTATAATTCCCTGCATCACAATTCCAATGGGTCAGAAGTTTACATACACTAAGTTGACTGTGCCTTTAAACAGCTTGGAAAATTCCAGAAAATGATGTCATGGCTTTAGAAGCTTCTGATAGGCTAATTGACATCATTTGAGTCAATTGGAGGTGTACCTGTGGATGTATTTCAAGGCCTACCTTCAAACTCAGTGCCGCTTTGCTTGACATAATGGGAAAATCAAAAGAAATCAGCCAAGTCCTCAGAAAAGAAATTGTAGACCTCCACAAGTCTGGTTCATCCTTGGGAGCAATTTCCAAATGCCTGAAGGTACCACGTTCATCTGTACAAACAATAGTACGCAAGTATAAACACCATGGGAGCACGCAGCCGTCATACCGCTCAGGAAGGAGACGTGTTCTGTCTCCTAGAGATGAACGTACTTTGGTGCAAAAAGTGCAAATCAATCCCAGAACCACAGCAAAGGACCTTGTGAAGATGCTGGAGGAAACAGGTACAAAAGTATCTATATCCACAGTAAAACGAGTCCTATATCAACATAACCTGAAAGGCCGCTCAGCAAGGAAGAAGCCACTGCTCCAAAACCGCCATTAAAAAGCCAGACTACGGTTTGCAACTGCACATGGGGACAAAGATTGTACTTTTTGGAGAAATGGCCTCTGGTCTGATGAAACAAAAATAGAACTGTTTGGCCATAATGACCATCGTTATGTTTGGAGGAAAAAGGGGGTGACTTGCAAGCCGAAGAACACCATCCCAACCGTGAAGCACAGGGGTGGCAGCATCATGCTGTGGGGGTGCTTTGCTGCAGGAGGGACTGGTGCATGAGGAAGGAAAATTATGTGGATATATAGAAGCAACATCTCAAGACATCAGTCAGGAAGTTAAAGCTTGGTTGCAAATGGGTCTTCCAAATGGACAATGACCCCAAGCATGCTTCCAAAGTTGTGGCAAAATGGCTTAAGGACAACAATGTCAAGGTATTGGAGTGGCCATCACAAAGCCCTGACCTCAATCCTATAGAACATTTGTGGGCAGAACTGAAAAAGCGTGTGCGAGCAAGGAGGCCTACAAACCTGACTCAGTCACACCAGCTCTGTCAGGAGGAATGGGCCAAAATTCACCCAACTTATTGTGGGAAGCTTGTGGAAGGCTACCCGAAACGTTTGACCCAAGTTAAACAATTTAAAGGCAATGCTACCATTGACCCACTTCTGACCCACTGGGAATGTGATGAAAGAAATAAAAGCTGAAATAAATCATTCTCTCTACTATTATTCTGACATTTCACATTCTTAAAATAAAGTTGAATGTTATAACTAGTTTTCAGTGGGAAGGCAGATAAGGTGTTTTTATCAAAAGCAATCACTTTTGCGTGTGAAAACACAGAATCCTATTAATTACTCCACGTGCTTAATTACGTCACTTAGTTTTTGATCCGACTTCGCCGTCGGACAGAGCGGGGCACCTGGCTGAAGCCCGGGAGGCAGCCCGGTTCCAAAACCAATGCAATCAACTTTCACCAGGTGCAAAACAAGCTTACCCGGGAGACCAGGCCAGATTAATCGAATCCCCTCATTAGCAATCAACAATTTCCTTATCAGCCCATTGTGAAACAGAAGCTTCTCTTTTTCTCTTTTTCCCAACCCCCTGGACACCACACAGATAAGGGAGGCTGGTTAGGGTTAGACCCCCCCTGGACACCACACTGATACGAGAGGCTGGTTAGGGTTAGACCCCCCCTGGACACCACACTGATACGAGAGGCTGGTTAGGGTTAGACCCCCCCTGGACACCACACTGATACGAGAGGCTGGTTAGGGTTAGACCCCCCCTGGACACCACACTGATACAAGAGGCTGGTTAGGGTTAGACCCCCCCCCCCGGACACCACACTGATACGAGAGGCTGGTTAGGGTTAGACCCCCCCCCCCCGGACACCACACTGATACGAGAGGCTGGTTAGGGTTAGACCCCCCCTGGACACCACACTGATACAAGAGGCTGGTTAGGGTTAGACCCCCCCTGGACACCACACTGATACGAGAGGCTGGTTAGGGTTAGACCCCCCCTGGACACCACACTGATACGAGAGGCTGGTTAGGGTTAGACCCCCCCCCCGGACACCACACTGATACGAGAGGCTGGTTAGGGTTAGACCCCCCCTGGACACCACACTGATACAAGAGGCTGGTTAGGGTTAGACCCCCCCTGGACACCACACTGATACGAGAGGCTGGTTAGGGTTAGACCCCCCCTGGACACCACACTGATACGAGAGGCTGGTTAGGGTTAGACCCCCCCTGGACACCACACTGATACGAGAGGCTGGTTAGGGTTAGACCCCCCCTGGACACCACACTGATACAAGAGGCTGGTTAGGGTTAGACCCCCCCTGGACACCACACTGATACGAGAGGCTGGTTAGGGTTAGACCCCCCCCCCCCCCGGACACCACACTGATACGAGAGGCTGGTTAGGGTTAGACCCCCCCTGGACACCACACTGATACGAGAGGCTGGTTAGGGTTAGACCCCCCCCCTGGACACCACACTGATACGAGAGGCTGGTTAGGGTTAGACCCCCCCTGGACACCACACTGATACGAGAGGCTGGTTAGGGTTAGACTCCCCCTGGACACCACACTGATACGAGAGGCTGGTTAGGGTTAGACCCCCCCTGGACACCACACTGATACGAGAGGCTGGTTAGGGTTAGACTCCCCCTGGACACCACACTGATACGAGAGGCTGGTTAGGGTTAGACCCCCCCTGGACACCACACTGATACGAGAGGCTGGTTAGGGTTAGACTCCCCCTGGACACCACACTGATACGAGAGGCTGGTTAGGGTTAGACCCCCCCCCCCGGACACCACACTGATACGAGAGGCTGGTTAGGGTTAGACCCCCCCTGGACACCACACTGATACAAGAGGCTGGTTAGGGTTAGACCCCCCCTGGACACCACACTGATACGAGAGGCTGGTTAGGGTTAGACCCCCCCTGGACACCACACAGATAAGGGAGGCTGGTTAGGGTTAGACCCCCCCTGGACACCACACTGATACAAGAGGCTGGAAACACAAGAGGCTCACTAGGAAACCATGATTCAACAGACTAGATGATTCAACTGATGATCAGTTGCTGTCTGGGTAAAGTCTGATTCAGACTGAGGACCCAGAGCCCTATCAGGTCATCAGTAGCTGTCTGGGTAAAGTCTGATTCAGACTGAGGACCCAGAGCCCTATCAGGTCATCAGTAGCTGTCTGGGTAAAGTCTGATTCAGACTGAGGACCCAGAGCCCTATCAGGTCATCAGTAGCTGTCTGGGTAAAGTCTGATTCAGACTGAGGACCCAGGGCCCTATCAGGTCATCAGTAGCTGTCTGGGTAAAGTCTGATTCAGACTGAGGACCCAGAGCCCTATCAGGTCATCAGTAGCTATCTGGGTAAAGTCTGATTCAGACTGAGGACCCAGGGCCCTATCAGGTCTTATTTTCTGTCATCATTACAATCTGAGGATATTAAGACTAACCACTCTCATTCAACTGTAGTGTTTACCTGGGTCTGTCTTCTGGGTATGTAGTGTTGCTGGGGTTAGTAACCATGTACTTCCTGTATACAGACTTAAACACAGCGTCCTGGTCCTCCCATTGGCGACTGCTGATCAGGTGGTTCTGTCCTGAGCCAATCACATTGCCGTCCTCGGTCTTCTGCAACACCTCAAATGGACTCTTCATGGTAGATCCTGTCAAATACGACAGATACAATGTCTTCCTGTTAATTCTCATGTTGATACAATGTATTCCTGTTATTCTCATGTTGATACAATGTATTCCTGTTATTCTCATGTTGATACAATGTCTTCCTGTTATTCTCATGTTGATACAATGTCTTCCTGTTATTCTCATGTTGATACAATGTCTTCCTGTTATTCTCATGTTGATACAATGTCTTCCTGTTATTCTCATGTTGATACAATGTCTTCCTGTTATTCTCATGTTGATACAATGTCTTCCTGTTATTCTCATGTTGATACAATGTCTTCCTGTTATTCTCATGTTGATACAATGTCTTCCTGTTATTCTCATGTTGATACAATGTCTTCCTGTTATTCTCATGTTGATACATTGTCTTCCTGTTATTCTCATGTTGATACAATGTCTTCCTGTTATTCTCATGTTGATACAATGTCTTCCTGTTATTCTCATGTTGATACAATGTCTTCCTGTTATTCTCATGTTGATACAATGTCTTCCTGTTATTCTCATGTTGATACAATGTCTTCCTGTTATTCTCATGTTGATACAATGTCTTCCTGTTATTCTCATGTTGATACAATGTCTTCCTGTTATTCTCATCTTGCACATTGAACATTTGCAATGTCCCTTTCATGACAATGAATATGACTATACCAAATTGCTTGTGTGGTTGTTATTTTCATCCAGTGAGGCTCAGGCAGCGTAGTACTACAGCCCAATAAAAGGAACATACTATTCATGACACAAATTCTTTAAAAACTACTCCATTTGGTTACCGGGTCATTCCACCTCAAAAAGCACAAAAAATAGGATTTCGACACCCACAATCTCAGATTGTTCTGAAATCGTTTCTGTTGTTAGAAACAGATAGGATTAGCATTCCTGCAACATTATTTTGTTGAAATATAATTTGATCTCTGAGAAATTAAGCTAATTGATTGCAGCCAAATTGGCCTTTTTAATTGATAAGATTCATATAATATTCAATAAATATAGTGCCTAACATCCAATTTGGACCAAACCTTTTCTAACAATGGGTTCAACATGAGGAATCCAAAGGAATGGTCAAAAGCCACCCACAGACCCCACACCCCACGCCAATCCCACCCCAACAATGAGTATACCGGTTCTGACCACTAGATGGTGCTGTTCCTGCTATTAGGTCAACAAAGTTTAAAGATCCCCCCCCTCAATGTTAAAGGGATTGTTCACCCAAATTGCAAAATGACATTGGTTGTCTATTGACAAGGTATGACAGCAACCCATGCTTGGGTTTTTCGCCACTGTTTCTGTCACGACTTCGGCCGAGGCTGCCTCCCCTCCTTGTTCGGGTAGGATTCGGCGTTCGTCGTCACCGGAGTACTAACCACTGCCGCCCCAATCATCATCACAATTGTCTTGTCTCGTTATCACACACACCTGGTTCTAATCCCCTCATTAGTCCGTGTATAAGTGTTCCCTCTGCCCCCTTGTCCTTGTGGGTGATTGTTTATTGTGAAGGTTAGTGAAGCTCGGTGGAGCTCGTGTATTTTGTTCGACGGGAGTATTTTCCCGTGTGCCTTGTATTTTCCAGTGTGCCTGTTTTGTGCCCTGGAGTGTGTTTGACGCATTTCTGCGTAAACCTGTATTTTTGCGGATTAAAGCCTGTTATTCTGTGATTTACCCTCCTGCGCCTGACTCCTTCAACACCACCTTAACACAGTTTCAAATGCTAACTTCTTAGCATTTGTGCCACAAATTCAATGCAAGTCAATGGTACTTATAATAGCATTTTCACGCTTCATGTTCAAATCATCCTAAAGTATAAAAAAATGTATTGTGTAACTGTATTATCTTACTTCGATTATTTGAATATGAAGTGTGAAAATGCTAATATAGGTACTGTTGACTTGCATGGAATTTGTGCCACAAATGCTAAAAAGTTAGCATTTGAAACAGTGGCCAGGTAAACAAAACCAACGCAAGGGTTGCCATCATACCTTGTCCATAGACTGCTTGGAAACCAATATGTCATTTTGTAATTTGGGTGAATTATCCCTTTAATATTGAGGGGGGGGGTCTTTAAAAAGTCAGAACCTGGTAATTTTAAGATGTAGGATGGGACATAAATCTAACATTTACAATGACACATTTTTCACACACAAAAAAAGAAAACACACAAAATTCACTGACAATATATTATATAGGACGAAGAAACAATACTCCAAGCAGCAGCTCCATACTACTTGTCAGACATACATTTACATTTTAGTCATTTAGCAGACGCTCTTATCCAGAGCGACTTACAGTTAGTGAGTGCATACATTTTCATACATAGAGAACTGATACTATATATTCGTTGTTGGGGTGGGATTGGCGTGGGGTGTGGGGGTCTGTGGATGGCTTTTGACAATTTCCTTGGATTCCTCATATCTTACTCATTGTTAGAAAAAAGGTTTGGTCCAAATCGGATGTTAGGTACTATATTTATTGAATATTACATGAATCCTATAAATTAAAATGGCCAATTTGGGTGCAATCAATTAGCTTAATTTCTCAGAGATCATTATTTTTCAACAAAATAATGTTTCAGGAATGCTAATCTGATCTGTTTCTAACAACAGAAAGGATTTCAGAACAATCTGAGATGGTGGGTGTCATGGCTGGCTGAATGACCTGGAACCGTGATCTGTTAAAGTTTGGTACGACAGAATGTCATGAGAAGTACCTGTGGGAGGTTTAGGTGGTTTGATCTTCATCAGCATGGCGACAGGAGACAGTTTCCATGTATCTCCTACTCCAGGTGCATGCTGGGACAGCTCTTTCAGCCAGGAGTCTTTAGGGAAGCTGTACACCTCTAAACACTGACAACCATGACCTGGTGGGAGAAATGAAAATAATATGAGGATTGAATGAAATATTCTACATGCATGCAGACTTAGGACTGGACTAAACAGATGAAAAGGTCCTTTTGTTTTGCAATCCTCTCCTTTCAGTTGGGCGATCTGATTGAGCTGATCCGCCCGGCTCTCCCACACAGATCCCAGGCGGTCACTTCCGTCACTCGTCAATCTTTTGAACTGATGTGAAGCCAGGTGCCAGGACACTTGACTTGTAGCTAACCTCCACTAGAAACAATATTGTTTAGGCTCATACCACAGACAGACAACACATTGATTCATTGTTAAAGTGAACCACTGACATTTAGGTGAGTTTAATATTCAGGATGACGTGTTCAGCATTATGCAGTGATGAGATGTGACCTGGATCTGTGTTGTGTAATAGACCTTACAGCTGATGGTAGCAGCTCCATAGTCTCCTCCTCTGGACAGTTCAAACTTCACACAGACACTTCTCTGGCTGAGGTCATCCTGGTCACATCAAAGGTTAATGATAAGATATAGTTACATGTATATATAATCTAATGATAACTGAGATGAAACCAGCTAGCCAAACTATGGACAAGCATGTCTATGGCCTTCCACCAAGGACTCTGCAATCACCCTAAAACCACTCCAACCTTGCTATCCGGAATCCTTGGGACGTCCCTACCCCATTGAAGTTAACATTTACGTAATTTAGCAGACGCTCTTATCCAGAGTGGCTTACAGGAGCAATTAGGGTTAAGTGCCTTGCTCAATGGCACTTCGACAGATTTTTTTCAGCTCTGGTGTTCGAACTAGCAATGTTTCGGTTACTGTCCCACCTCTATGCTACCAGCCACCCCCGTTTAAATGTAGTTACTGTCCCAACGCTCTTCACCTCTATGCTACCTGCCACCCCCGTTTAAATGTAGTTACTGTCCCAACGCTCTTCACCTCTATGCTACCAGCCACCCCCGTTTAAATGTAGTTACTGTCCCAACGCTCTTCACCTCTAGGCTACCAGCCACCCCCGTTTAAATGTAGTTACTGTCCCAACGCTCTTCACCTCTAGGCTACCACCCCCGTTTAAATGTAGTTACTGTCCCAACGCTCTTCACCTCTAGCTACCACCCCCGTTTAAATGTAGTTACTGTCCCAACGCTCTTCACCTCTATGCTACCAGCCCCCCGTTTAATGTAGTTACTGTCCCAACGCTCTTCACCTCTATGCTTACCAGCCACCCCCGTTTAAATGTAGTTACTGTCCCAACGCTCTTCACCTCTAGGCTACCAGGCCACCCCCGTTTAAATGTAGTTAATGTCCCAACGCGCTTCACCTCTAGGCTACCAGCCCACCCCCCGTTTAAATGTAGTTACTGTCCCAACGCTCTCACCTCTAGGCTACCAGCCCCCGTTTAAATGTAGTTACTGTCCCAACGCTCTTCACCTCTAGGCTGCCAGCCCCCGTTTAAAATGTAGTTACCTGTCCCAACGCTCTTCACCTCTAGGCTACCAGCCCCGTTTAAATGTAGTTACTGTCCCAACGCTCTTCACCTCTATGCTTTCCACCCCGTTTAAATGTAGTAACTGTCCCAACGCTCGTCACCCTCTAGGCTGCCACCCCCGTTTAAAATGTAGTTACTGTCCCAACGCTCTTCACCTCTAGAACCAGCCACCCCCGTTTAATGTATACGGTCCCAACGCTCTTCACCTCTATGCTACCAGCCACCCCGTTTAAATGTAGTTACTGTCCCAACGCTCTTCACCTCTAGGTGGCCAGCCACCCCCGTTTAATTTAAAGTAGTTTACTGTCCCAACGCCTCTTCACCTCTAGGGCTGCCACCCCAAGTTTAAATGTAGTTACTGTCCAAACGCTCTTTCACCTCTAGGCTGCCACCCCGTTTAAATGTAGTTACTGTCCAACGTCTTCACCTCTAGGCTACCAGCCACCCCCGTTAAATGTAGTTACTGTCCCAAACGCTCTTCACCTCTATGCTACAGCCCACCCCAGTTTTAAATGTAGTTTAGTTACTGTCCCAACGTGCTCGTCACCTCTAGGCTACCAGCCACCCCCGTTTTTTAAATGTAGTTACTGTCCCAACGCTCTTCACCTCTAGGCTACCAGCCACCCCCGTTTAAATGTTAGGTTACTTGTTCCCAACGCTCTTCACCTCTAGGCTCGCCACCCCCGTTAAAGTAGTTACTGTCCCAACGCTCTTCACCTCTAGGCTACCACCCCCCGTTTTTAAATGTAGTTTACTGTCCCAACGCTCTTCACCTCTAGGCTGCCAGCCACCCCCGTTTAAATGTAGTTACTGTCCCAACGCTCTTCACCTCTATGCTACCAGCCACCCCCGTTTAAATGTAGTTACTGTCCCAACGCTCTTCACCTCTAGGCTACCAGCCACCCCCGTTTAAATGTAGTTACTGTCCCAACGCTCTTCACCTCTAGGCTACCAGCCACCCCCGTTTAAATGTAGTTACTGTCCCAACGCTCTTCACCTCTAGGCTACCAGCCACCCCCGTTTAAATGTAGTTACTGTCCCAACGCTCTTCACCTCTATGCTACCAGCCACCCCCGTTTAAATGTAGTTACTGTCCCAACGCTCTTCACCTCTAGGCTACCAGCCACCCCCGTTTAAATGTAGTTACTGTCCCAACGCTCTTCACCTCTAGGCTGCCACCCCCGTTTAAATGTAGTTACTGTCCCAACGCTCTTCACCTCTAGGCTACCACCCCCGTTTAAATGTAGTTACTGTCCCAACGCTCTTCACCTCTAGGCTACCACCCCCCGTTTAAATGTAGTTACTGTCCCAACGCTCTTCACCTCTAGGCTACCACCCCCGTTTAAATGTAGTTACTGTCCCAACGCTCTTCACCTCTAGGCTGCCAGCCCCGTTTAAATGTAGTTACTGTCCCAACGCTCTTCACCTCTAGGCTACCACCACCCCCGTTTAAATGTAGTTACTGTCCCAACGCTCTTCACCTCTAGGCTGCCAGCCACCCCCGTTTAAATGTAGTTACTGTCCCAACGCTCTTCACCTCTAGGCTACCAGCCACCCCCCGTTTAAATGTAGTTACTGTCCCAACGCTCTTCACCTCTAGGCTGCCACCCCCGTTTAAATGTAGTTACTGTCCCAACGCTCTTCACCTCTAGGCTACCTGCCACCCCCGTTTAAATGTAGTTACTGTCCCAACGCTCTTCACCTCTAGGCTACCAGCCACCCCCGTTTAAATGTAGTTACTGTCCCAACGCTCTTCACCTCTAGGCTACCAGCCACCCCCGTTTAAATGTAGTTACTGTCCCAACGCTCTTCACCTCTAGCTACCAGCCCCCGTTTAAATGTAGTTACTGTCCCAACGCTCTTCACCTCTAGGCTACCAGCCACCCCCGTTTAAATGTAGTTACTGTCCCAACGCTCTTCACCTCTAGGCTGCCAGCCACCCCCGTTTAAATGTAGTTACTGTCCCAACGCTCTTCACCTCTAGGCTGCCACCCCCGTTTAAATGTAGTTACTGTCCCAACGCTCTTCACCTCTAGGCTGCCAGCCACCCCCGTTTAAATGTAGTTACTGTCCCAACGCTCTTCACCTCTAGGCTGCCAGCCACCCCCGTTTAAATGTAGTTACTGTCCCAACGCTCTTCACCTCTAGGCTACCACCCCCGTTTAAATGTAGTTACTGTCCCAACGCTCTTCACCTCTAGGCTGCCACCCCCGTTTAAATGTAGTTACTGTCCCAACGCTCTTCACCTCTAGGCTACCAGCCACCCCCGTTTAAATGTAGTTACTGTCCCAACGCTCTTCACCTCTAGGCTACCAGCCACCCCCGTTTAAATGTAGTTACTGTCCCAACGCTCTTCACCTCTAGGCTGCCACCCCCCGTTTAAATGTAGTTACTGTCCCAACGCTCTTCACCTCTAGGCTGCCAGCCACCCCCGTTTAAATGTAGTTACTGTCCCAACGCTCTTCACCTCTAGGCTACCAGCCCCCGTTTAAATGTAGTTACTGTCCCAACGCTCTTCACCTCTATGCTACCAGCCACCCCCGTTTAAATGTAGTTACTGTCCCAACGCTCTTCACCTCTATGCTACCAGCCACCCCCGTTTAAATGTAGTTACTGTCCCAACGCTCTTCACCTCTAGGCTACCACCCCCGTTTAAATGTAGTTACTGTCCCAACGCTCTTCACCTCTATGCTACCTGCCACCCCCGTTTAAATGTAGTTACTGTCCCAACGCTCTTCACCTCTAGGCTACCTGCCACCCCCGTTTAAATGTAGTTACTGTCCCAACGCTCTTCACCTCTAGGCTACCAGCCACCCCCGTTTAAATGTAGTTACTGTCCCAACGCTCTTCACCTCTAGGCTACCAGCCACCCCCGTTTAAATGTAGTTACTGTCCCAACGCTCTTCACCTCTAGGCTACCACCCCCCGTTTAAATGTAGTTACTGTCCCAACGCTCTTCACCTCTAGGCTACCAGCCACCCCCGTTTAAATGTAGTTACTGTCCCAACGCTCTTCACCTCTAGGCTACCAGCCACCCCCGTTTTAAATGTAGTTACTGTCCCAACGCTCTTCACCTCTAGGCTGCCACCCCCGTTTAAATGTAGTTACTGTCCCAACGCTCTTCACCTCTAGGCTACCACCCCCGTTTAAATGTAGTTACTGTCCCAACGCTCTTCACCTCTATGCTACCAGCCACCCCCGTTTAAATGTAGTTACTGTCCCAACGCTCTTCACCTCTAGGCTACCAGCCACCCCCGTTTAAATGTAGTTACTGTCCCAACGCTCTTCACCTCTAGGCTACCAGCCACCCCCGTTTAAATGTAGTTACTGTCCCAACGCTCTTCACCTCTAGGCTACCAGCCACCCCCGTTTAAATGTAGTTACTGTCCCAACGCTCTTCACCTCTAGGCTACCAGCCACCCCCGTTTAAATGTAGTTACTGTCCCAACGCTCTTCACCTCTAGGCTACCAGCCACCCCCGTTTAAATGTAGTTACTGTCCCAACGCTCTTCACCTCTAGGCTACCAGCCACCCCCGTTTAAATGTAGTTACTGTCCCAACGCTCTTCACCTCTAGGCTACCAGCCACCCCCGTTTAAATGTAGTTACTGTCCCAACGCTCTTCACCTCTAGGCTGCCAGCCACCCCCGTTTAAATGTAGTTACTGTCCCAACGCTCTTCACCTCTAGGCTACCAGCCACCCCCGTTTAAATGTAGTTACTGTCCCAACGCTCTTCACCTCTAGGCTGCCACCCCCGTTTAAATGTAGTTACTGTCCCAACGCTCTTCACCTCTAGGCTACCAGCCACCCCCGTTTAAATGTAGTTACTGTCCCAACGCTCTTCACCTCTAGCTACCAGCCACCCCCGTTTAAATGTAGTTACTGTCCCAACGCTCTTCACCTCTAGGCTACCAGCCCCGTTTAAATGTAGTTACTGTCCCAACGCTCTTCACCTCTAGGCTGCCAGCCCCGTTTAAATGTAGTTACTGTCCCAACGCTCTTCACCTCTAGGCTGCCACCCCCGTTTAAATGTAGTTACTGTCCCAACGCTCTTCACCTCTAGGCTACCAGCCACCCCCGTTTAAATGTAGTTACTGTCCCAACGCTCTTCACCTCTAGGCTGCCACCCCCGTTTAAATGTAGTTACTGTCCCAACGCTCTTCACCTCTAGGCTACCAGCCACCCCCGTTTAAATGTAGTTACTGTCCCAACGCTCTTCACCTCTAGGCTGCCAGCCACCCCCGTTTAAATGTAGTTACTGTCCCAACGCTCTTCACCTCTATGCTACCAGCCACCCCCGTTTAAATGTAGTTACTGTCCCAACGCTCTTCACCTCTAGGCTACCAGCCACCCCCGTTTAAATGTAAAATGGTTAGGTAAGGGTAAGGGTTGAGATTTAGGGTAGGGACGTCCCAAGTAGGGCTGTTGTGGTGACTGTATTACGGCCCACCGGCAGTCATGAGTCATGACCACAGTCACATTCCACATGACCGTTGAGTCACCGTAATCTCCTCCTATGAGGTCTACACTGGAATGGCGCTGATGCTTTGGTAGTACCCAACTTGCTAATGACAGTCAGGTCGCTAATGGCCTGGTACTCAGCACTCTATTGTCCCTCTAACCATCAGGTCCTAATGGCCTGGTACTCAGGGCTCTATTGTCCCTCTAACCATCAGGTCCTAATGGCCTGGTACTCAGGGCTCTATTGTCCCTCTAACCATCAGGTCCTAATGGCCTGGTACTCAGGGCTCTATTGTCCCTCTAACCATCAGGTCCTAATGGTCTGGTACTCAGGGCTCTATTGTCCCTCTAACCATCAGGTCCTAATGGCCTGGTACTCAGGGCTCTATTGTCCCTCTAACCATCAGGTCCTAATGGTCTGGTACTCAGCACTCTATTGTCCCTCTAACCATCAGGTCCTAATGGCCTGGTACTCAGGGCTCTATTGTCCCTCTAACCATCAGGTCCTAATGGCCTGGTACTCAGGGCTCTATTGTCCCTCTAACCATCAGGTCCTAATGGCCTGGTACTCAGGGCTCTATTGTCCCTCTAACCATCAGGTCCTAATGGCCTGGTACTCAGCACTCTATTGTCCCTCTAACCATCAGGTCCTAATGGCCTGGTACTCAGCACTCTATTGTCCCTCTAACCATCAGGTCCTAATGGCCTGGTACTCAGGGCTCTATTGTCCCTCTAACCATCAGGTCCTAATGGTCTGGTACTCAGGGCTCTATCGTCCCTCTAACCATCAGGTCCTAATGGCCTGGTACTCAGGGCTCTATTGTCCCTTTAACCATCAGGTCCTAATGGCCTGGTACTCAGGGCTCTATTGTCCCTCTAACCATCAGGTCCTAATGACCTGGTACTCAGGGCTCTATTGTCCCTCTAACCATCAGGTCCTAATGGCCTGGTACTCAGGGCTCTATTGTTCCTCTAACCATCAGGTCCTAATGGCCTGGTACTCAGGGCTCTATTGTCCCTCTAACCATCAGGTCCTAATGGCCTGGTACTCAGGGCTCTATTGTCCCTCTAACCATCAGGTCCTAATGGTCTGGTACTCAGGGCTCTATTGTCCCTCTAACCATCAGGTCCTAATGGTCTGGTACTCAGCACTCTATTGTCCCTCTAACCATCAGGTCCTAATGGCCTGGTACTCAGGGCTCTATTGTCCCTCTAACCATCAGGTCCTAATGACCTGGTACTCAGGGCTCTATTGTCCCTCTAACCATCAGGTCCTAATGGCCTGGTACTCAGGGCTCTATTGTCCCTCTAACCATCAGGTCCTAATGGCCTGGTACTCAGGGCTCTATTGTCCCTCTAACCATCAGGTCCTAATGGCCTGGTACTCAGGGCTCTATTGTCCCTCTAACCATCAGGTCGCTAATGGCCTGGTACTCAGGGCTCTATTGTCCCTCTAACCATCAGGTCCTAATGGTCTGGTACTCAGGGCTCTATTGTCCCTCTAACCATCAGGTCGCTAATGGCCTGGTACTCAGGGCTCTATTGTCCCTCTAACCATCAGGTCCTAATGGCCTGGTACTCAGGGCTCTATTGTCCCTCTAACCATCAGGTCGCTAATGGCCTGGTACTCAGGGCTCTATTGTCCCTCTAACCATCAGGTCCTAATGGCCTGGTACTCAGGGCTCTATTGTCCCTCTAACCATCAGGTCCTAATGGTCTGGTACTCAGGGCTCTATTGGCCCTCTAACCATCAGGTCCTAATGGTCTGGTACTCAGGGCTCTATTGTCCCTCTAACCATCAGGTCCTAATGGTCTGGTACTCAGGGCTCTATTGTCCCTCTAACCATCAGGTCCTAATGGCCTGGTACTCAGGGCTCTATTGTCCCTCTAACCATCAGGTCGCTAATGGTCTGGTACTCAGGGCTCTATTGTCCCTCTAACCATCAGGTCCTAATGGTCTGGTACTCAGCACTCTATTGTCCCTCTAACCATCAGGTCCTAATGGCCTGGTACTCAGGGCTCTATTGGCCCTCTAACCATCAGGTCCTAATGGTCTGGTACTCAGCACTCTATTGTCCCTCTAACCATCAGGTCCTAATGGCCTGGTACTCAGCACTCTATTGTCCCTCTAATCACTCTGACATCAATGCAAATGCAATCGAAAATCGCATCAAACCCTTATCATCAAAACAGTGTCATACTTTTAAAATTAAATTAGGCTACATTGTTTGACCTCACTGTGATTGATTAATTTGAAGAAAGAAGTTCAACAGCAGATTGAAACTGAGAGGAAAACATGGTCTTTGGATGTTGTTCCAAAGGCAAACCCAACTAAATGGACAGCGCTTTCTAAGGTGATGATTCATTCAGAGGATTGAAGATGTCGAATGTAGAACACCAATATGCATATTAGAGCTCATGGCTATGCCTATTCATGAGCTGTTTACAATAGTCCAATAGCCTACCGCATATTACGTATGGCAGAAAAACATTAAAATGCTATTCTGTTCTTCTGAAATACATTTTCTTCATATCATAATGTTTCCTTAGACCTGTCTAAAATAAATTATGGATGTATTGTGATGGTGTAGTGTGATGGTGTAGTGTGTACTCCCGAGTGGCGCAGTGGTCTAAGGCACTGCATCGCAGTGCAAACTGTGCCACTAGAGATCCTGGTTCGAATCCAGGCTCTGTCGCAGCCGGCCGCGACCGGGAGACTCATGGGCGGCGCACAATTGGCCCAGCGTCGTCCAGGGTAGGGGAGGGAATGGCCGGCAGGGATGTAGCTCAGTTGATAGAGCATGGTGTTTGCAACGCCAGGGTTGTGGGTTCGATTCCCACGGGGGGCCAGTATAAAAATAAATAAAAATATGTATTCACTAACTGTAAGTCGCTCTGGATAAGAGCGTCTGCTAAAATGACTAAAATGTAAAAAAATGTGTATATTACATGGATTTATTAGGCTTTTCTGAAAAGGTGCACCTCAATGTGTTTATGTTAATTAACAGTAAATTACCGTAAGACCGGCAGTTATTTGCATGACAGTTACCGGCTGACAAAATGTAATGACTTCCACAGCGCTAGTCCAAGGATTCCGGATAGCACTAACCTCACTCACGACTGTGAGCAATCACTCACTTAACTAGCCTTGCTGGTGCTCAAAGTACCTGGCTTCTAAATGCTGCCCCCTAATGGTGGGATGTTATATTGGAAAACTGACTAACGGAATTCCTAACAATAACATATTGGGATAAAAACAAAACTGAATCAAAATGGTCATTAAATATATATATCTTTTTCACTTAACCATTATTTTAGGTAAGCTGACTGAGAACACATTGTGATTTCCAGCAAGGACCTGGGGAATAGTTCCAGGAGAGAGGAGGAGGAGGGATGAATGAGCCAATGGAAATAATATAGACCTCAGAGATGCAAAGCAACAATACTTACTGTTTCATTCATGACTTTTATCAGATGGAGGGTTTCTGAGTAATAAGCAAAGAGTCTGGCAACACCTACAGTCAGATGAGGAGGAGGGGGAGAGGAGGTGGAGGGGGAGGAGGAGGGGGAGAGGAGGTGGAGGGGGAGGAGGAGGAGGAGGGGGAGGAGGTGGTGGTGGAGGAGAGGAGGAGGGAGAGGAGAGGAGAAGGAGGAGGGAGAGATAGAAAGAAGAACTAGAATAGTGTTCATAGTGTACATAGTTTTAATAGTGTTAATAGTGTTAATAGTGTTAATAGTGTTAATAGTGTTCATAGTGTTCACAGTTTTAATAGTGTTCATTTCCATCACTGGGCGTCAAACGTTAACAGCATACAACCTGACAGTCAACTTATGAGTTGGTGATACCCATAGACATGATATAATAGTGTAATTATGTGGTGTTACCCATAGACATGATATAATAGTGTAATTATGTGGTGTTACCCATAGACATTATATAATAGTGTAATTATTGTGGTACCCATAGACATGATATATAGTGTAATTATGTGGTGTGACCCATAAGAATGATATAATAGCTGTATTATGTGGTGGTTACCCATGATATATGATATATAGTGTGGTGTTACCATAGACATGATATAATAGGTGGTGTTAACCCATGAACATGAATTAATAGTGTTTATGTGGTGGTACCCCATAGACATGATATATAGGTGGTGTTACCAATAGATATATGATAAATAGTGTGGTGTTACCCATAGATTATATTATATAATAGTGTGGTGTTCCAATAGACATGTATAATAGTGTAATTATGTGGTGTTACCCATCGACATTGATATAATAGTGTGGTGTTAACCATAGAGATATGATATAATGTGTTTGTGTGTTACCCATAGATATATTATATAATAGTGTTCCATATTATTTAATGTTGGTGTTACCCATAGACATGATATAATAGTGTAATTATGTGGTGTTACCCATAGACATGATATAATAGTGTTGTGGTGTTACCCATAGACATGATATAATAGTGTAATTATGTGGTGTTACCCATAGATATATTATATAATAGTGTGGTGTTACCCATAGATATATGATATAATAGTGTGGTGTTACCCATAGATATATTATATATGTAATTAGTGTGGTGTTACCCATAGATATATGGTATTAATAGTGTATTATGTGGTGTTACCCATAGATATTATATAATAGTGTGGTGTTACCCATAGACATGATATAATAGTGTAATTATGTGGTGTTACCCATAGATATATTATATAATAGTGTGGTGTTACCCATAGATATATGATATAATAGTGTGGTGTTACCCATAGATATATTATATAATAGTGTGGTGTTACCCATAGATATATGGTATAATAGTGTGGTGGGTTACCATAGATATATTAATAATATGTGGTGTACCATAGACATGATATAATAGTGTGTGTTACCCTAGATATATGATATAAGAGTTTGGTTGTTACCCATAACAATGATATATTGTGGTGTTACCCATAGATATATTATATAATAGTGTGGTGTTACCCATAGATATATTATATAATAGTGTGGTGTTACCCATAGATATATTATATAATAGTGTGGTGTTACCCATAGATATATTATATAATAGTGTGGTGTTACCCATAGATATATTATATAATAGTGTGGTGTTACCCATAGATATATTATATATAGTGTGGTGTTACCCATAGATATATTATATATAGGTGGGTGTACCCAAGATATATGATATAATAGTGTGGTGTTACCCATAGATATATTATATAATAGTGTGGTGTTACCCATAGATATATGATATAATTATGTGGTGTTACCCATAGATATATGATATAATAGTGTGGTGTTACCCATAGATATATGATATAATAGTGTGGTGTTACCCATAGATATATTATATAATAGTGTGGTGTTACCCATAGATATATTATATAATAGTGTGGTGTTACCCATAGACATATGGTATAATAGTGTAATTATGTGGTGTTACCCATAGATATATGATATAATAGTGTGGTGTTACCCATAGATATATTATATAATAGTGTGGTGTTACCCATAGACATGATATAATAGTGTGGTGTTACCCATAGATATATGGTATAATAGTGTAATTATGTGGTGTTACCCATAGATATATTATATAATAGTGTGGTGTTACCCATAAACATATGATATAATAGTGTGGTGTTACCCATAGATATATTATATAATAGTGTGGTGTTACCCATAGACATGATATAATAGTGTGGTGTTACCCATAGATATATTATATAATAGTGTGGTGTTACCCATAGATATATGATATAATAGTGTGGTGTTTAAATCAGTGGTATTACCCCTAGACATATTAAATTTACATTTTAGTCATTTAGCAGACGCTCTTATCCAGAGCGACTTACAGTTAGTGAGTGCATACATTTTTTTTTTTTTTTTTCATACTGGCCCCCCGTGGGAATCGAACCCACAACCCTGGTGTTGCAAACGCCATGCTCTACCAACTGAGTTGGGATTCTGGTTCATTGTTTAGCTAGCTAGCTACATGTCTAAACAAAAGACTCCACTATGTTGGGATTCTGGTTCATTGTTTAGCTAGCTAGCTACATGTCTAAACAATAGACTCCACTATGTTGGGATTCTGGTTCATTGTTTAGCTAGCTAGCTACATGACTAAACAAAAGACTCCACTATGTTGGGATTCTGGTTCATTGTTTAGCTAGCTAGCTACATGTCTAAACAAAAGACTCCACTATGTTGGGATTCTGGTTCATTGTTTAGCTAGCTAGCTACATGTCTAAACAAAAGACTCCACTATGTTGGGATTCTGGTTCATTGTTTAGCTAGCTAGATACATGTCTAAACAAAAGACTCCACTATGTTGGGATTCTGGTTCATTGTTTAGCTAGCTAGCTACATGTCTAAACAATAGACTCCACTATGTTGGGATTCTGGTTCATTGTTTAGCTAGCTAGCTACATGACTAAACAAAAGACTCCACTATGTTGGGATTCTGGTTCATTGTTTAGCTAGCTAGCTACATGTCTAAACAATAGACTCCACTATGTTGGGATTCTGGTTCATTGTTTAGCTAGCTAGCTACATGACTAAACAAAAGACTCCACTATGTTGGGATTCTGGTTCATTGTTTAGCTAGCTAGCTACATGTCTAAACAAAAGACTCCACTATGTTGGGATTCTGGTTCATTGTTTAGCTAGCTAGCTACATGTCTAAACAATAGACTCCACTATGTTGGGATTCTGGTTCATTGTTTAGCTAGCTAGCTAGCTACATGTCTAAACAAAAGACTCCACTATGTTGGGATTCTGGTTCATTGTTTAGCTAGCTAGCTACATGTCTAAACAAAAGACTCCACTATGTTGGGATTCTGGTTCATTGTTTAGCTAGCTAGCTACATGTCTAAACAATAGACTCCACTATGCAAGTAACCATTTCAATAGAATGTTCATGATGTCATTGCGACAACTGTCGATAGACGTAGCTGGTAAATTCGCTCTGTCTTTCTAGACCAGGGGTGTCAAACGTACGGCCCGCGGGCCGGATCAGGCCCGCAAATGGGTTTAATCCGGCCCGCGAGATGATTTAGAAAAAAAAATTAAGAATAATATGTTTTTTTTTTTGTTTTTTTAAGTATAAAAATGCGCTGCAATTTTTCAATAAAATAAACTGCTGTTCCAATTGCGTCCACTGGATGGCGCAATAGCAATTGTGTTAAGCAAGCAAACTGTTTATACCGGGGCAGAGCAAGTAGGTCAAGCACGTGCAGCCAATGAGCTACTTTGTTTTGCCCGCGATATTTATTACGGCTTCTACTTTTAACATTATGTGCTTTGGCACCCTCATTGCCCCAATATGTCTCTGTCAAAAAATAGAAAAGTGGACGCAGAGTGCAGAGTGATCCAAGAAAAATGGTCATCCTATTTAATCACGGAATTGAATGGGAAAGCTGTATGTTTGGTGTGTTCAGAGCATGTTGCAGTGCTGAAAGAATATAACCTTCGTCGCCACTATGTGAGTCTTCATGCCGACAAATATGACAACTTTCAAGGACAGCGGAGATGAGAGAAGGTGAATGAACTGTTGGCGGGTCTGAAGAAACAGCAGTCTGTGTTTACTCACAGCCGAGACATCAGTGACGCTGCAGTGAAAGCTAGCTACCTCATTGCTAATGAAATCGCAGTGGCTTCAAAACCATTTAGTGAGGGTGAATTTGTAAAAACATGCATGATGAAGGCAGCGGAGATTGTGTGCCCTGAAAAGCGGCAGGCTTTTGCAAATATCAGCCTGACAAGAAACACAGCTGCAGACAGGATTTCCGATCTTTCAGTGGATTTGGACAGCCAGTTGAAGTCATTTATTGCCTTTTCGGTTGCAATTGATGAAAGCACGGACATTACAGATGTTGCACAACTGGCCATTTTTTCATCCGCGGAGTTGATGACACATTGACCGTCACTGAGGAGTTCGTGGAGTTGGTGCCGATGACAGATACAACGACAGCAGCTGATATTTTTACCGCACTCGTCGGCGCGCTGGACAGGGTCGGAGTGGACTGGTCCCGCGCTGTCAGCCTGGCTACAGATGGTGCGCCCTCAATGATCGGGAAAAAAGCAGGCGTTGTGACAAAGTTCAGAGAGAAAGTGCAATCTGCAAATGGAGGACGTGATTTTTTGACTTTTCACTGTATTTTGCACCAGGAGGCTTTGTGTTGCAAGTCATTAAAGATGGATAACGTCATGAAGGTGGTCATCCAAACTGTTAATTTCATCCGATCCAGAAGCCTGAATCACCGTCAGTTTGACAGCCTTCTCAGAGAGAAAGACCACATCTATGGCCTGCCATACCACACTGAGGTAAGATGGTTAAGCCGAGGTGCTGTGCTGAGGCGTTTCTTTGATTTACGAGAAGAAATTGAACAGTTCATGGAAGAAAAGGGCAAACCAGTGTTAGAATTTCATTCCGCAGAATGGATGCAGGACCTTGCATTTATGGTGGATGTTACAGAGCACCTGAATAACTTGAACAAACAGCTGCAAGGGCGCAACAAAGTTGTCACGCAGTATTATGACAGCATACGTTCTTTCAAGTTGAAGCTGTCATTGTGGGAGACGTGGTGCTCTGATGATGCAGCTCACTTCCCCTGTCTGAAAAATGTGTGCGCGACCCAACATGTGGCAGACATGAAGCGGTTCAAAGATAAAATAACGGGACTGTTACGGGAGTTTGAGCAACGCTTTCAGATTTATGTTTATATGTTTTTATGTTGATGTGCTATTGTTTTTAATTGATTTTATTTTATTTGTATATTTAACCTATTCTTGACTCTGTGGTTCTTGCACTTGTTTGGGGAACAGGATTTCATTATTTTTATCTACATTTCTGCCTGAGAAATGACACCCTGATATAGTTCTGTGATCTGTGAAACAGTTCTGTTCATCACTGAGGCATTGTGTGTTTGTGTGTTCTTTGTCCTCAGAACTTTCAAATAACTTGAGGTGTTTTATGATTAATAGTGATGTTGTGCTTTTGGACACTGTCCTCAGGCTCCAGCTTTATGTTTATATGTTTTTATGTTGATGTGCTATTGTTTTTAATTGATTTTATTTTATTTGTATATTTAACCTATTCTTGACTCTGTGGTTCTTGCACTTGTTTGGGGAACAGGATTTCATTATTTTTATCTACATTTCTGCCTGAGAAATGACACCCTGATATAGTTCTGTGATCTGTGATATACTTCTGTGAATCACTGAGGCATTGTGTGTTTGTGTGTTCTTTGTCCTCAGAACTTTCAAATAACTTGAGGTGTTTTATGATTAATAGTGATGTTGTGCTTGTACTATTTTGGACACACTGTCCTCAGGCTCCAGCTTTATGTTGTATGTTGATCGTATTAAAACAAAGAAAACAATCTGAAGTTGTTGTTTTTAAGTTATATATACCATGATTTTTCCGGTCCGGCCCACTTGGGAATAGATTTTCCTCCATGTGGCCCCTGAGCTAAAATGAGTTTGACACCCCTGTTCTAGACAGAGGGGGCTAAGGGGGCTGAGGCTTTAGAGGGTGTGAACGATACTGAATGGGTGGAGACAAAGAAGAGCTCTCCAGTAGGTACCAAAACATTCAAGGCCATTTTCTCAAAAGTGGGGTTACAAGTTTATCAACTTTCAAAGCAGAATTACTTTCCCATTGTTCCTCAACTGTAGTGTATGATATACCATTTTGTAGCTCTGAGTCTCTACTTTTATCCAATGTAAAAAACACCATTTCAAATGTTGCTACATAAGACCGAATCGAGTCGGTCGGTCACAAATAGTGTTCTGTTTAATTCTGTGGTGTTACCCATAGACATTCTCTATGATATAATAGTGTAATTATGTGGTGTTACCCATAGACTTATGATAAAATAGTGTTCTGTTTAATTCTGTGGTGTTACCCATAGACATTCTCTATGATATAATAGTGTAATTATGTGGTGTTACCCATAGACTTATGATAAAATAGTGTTCTGTTTAATTCTGTGGTGTTACCCATAGACATATTATATAATAGCGTTTGTTTAATTCTGTGGTGTTAGATCTATGATATAATAGTGTAACTCTGTGGTGTTAGATCTATGATATAATAGTGTAACTCTGTGGTGTTAGATCTATGATATAATAGTGTAATTCTGTGGTGTTACCCATATCATCCAGGGATGCCAGCAGGTAGGCCATCTCCCCCAGACAGGTGATGTGAAGAGAGGTGATCTCTACCCGATCCTCCTGCCATACTGGCACATAGTAGGGAGAGGAAGAGGAGGAGGTGGTGGTATCCTGGGGCTGGGGCTGAGCCATAACAGACAGGCCGTGGGGGTGACCCAGGAAGATGGAGGAGGTGGTGGTATCCTGGGGCTGGGGCTGAGCCATAACAGACAGGCCGTGGGAGGTGACCCAGGAAGATGTACCTGCCGTCCTCAGAGCAGGCCACACAGTTGGTCCTCACAGGGAGCTGGGAACAAACACAGGACATGTGTTGGACTATCATGTAGTGGACACATTTAGACTGGGTTTTATGCATCAACTTTCATCATTTCAATTACAGAACAGCACAGTTTTATAAGGCTAAAAGAAGATAGATGAGAAAATATATGGGTTAGTACCTTTACGTCCCCTGAGACCTCCATAATGGGTATAGTGTTCTTAGCGTGCTCTGCGACCCTGACCGCTTCTCTCTGTG